GTTTCGGTTTCGCTCACGTGTATATATAATTGATTGTTGTAGAATTCAAACCAAAATGGGTATTTTGGAATGGTGGCATTAAAGGGACGGGGGAGGGCGCGGGGTGGGGGCGGGGGCACAACATAATTTGAATAAAAAATTTCATATAATCTATTTTTACGTATTTAAAATGTCTTCCTTTCACACATTTCTCAGGCCACTGTTTTGGAATAATATTATGTGTAGTGCATGCAGCCCAACGGACAGTTTCTACCAAAGTGATGTTCATTGAACAAACTACATATATTATGGCGTCCTGATACAGGAAAACTGTATATTTTATATCGTATTCATGTGACAGACAGTAACCGGTTTCTTGTTGACAGTAGCTGTTTGTCCCTGGTTTCTGGGCTTATAAGTTAAGTAAATATAAACATAAGTTTAGTGTTTGCTTAATAATAAAGACGATGTTTAAACAAAGTTTACCATTTTGTCCTCACCAAAAACAGATATTCAGTATAAAAAATTATTTGATCGACATTCTTCATTCAAATAATTCAATATTCTAGTTCATTTGTATCTAATGTTATTGTTTTAAACTATTTTTTCCCAAAACTGAAACACTAAACGCCAGGTAGGGTCAAGTAAACACAACAACTTCATAAGGATGTTGTTGAATCTCTCTGCTGTGTGAATGTAAAAACAAGACAAATATGATCTAATTTTAGTTAGGCTGTGAAACTGTGGTGGCCCAAGGATTAAGGCGCTTGATCCCGGTGTTGACCGAGAAAATTGTGGTACAGAACGTTTACTCCGTTGGGTGGGACGAAAACTGATGAAATGGAATGGGGTTTAAAATTCTACTGTTCGGCGCCGAAGGGATTACAGTGTACTATCAGGGAAATTTTGCTCGGACAGCGGCACTAAGGCCTACTCTTATTTCAAATTCCTACTAGTAGGGGTTTCTTTTACGTGCACGCCAATGTGTACACTGGCCTCCGTCTTCGTCCCATCCTGCACAACTGACATCCAGATGAACTTCTCGGACAATAAAAACCGATGTCCCGTGCACGTATAAACTTGACGAAATATGAGTAGGCCGTAGCGCCGTTACCCGGGCAAATCTCCCATAGCAGACTGCATGGTCTTGATTAGCCACGCTGGAACAGAAAAGTAGAGAGTTAAACATAATTTCATTTCATGTCATTTAATTTCTTCAAAACGGTGTCAAGTTTTTCTTTTCATTTAATATTCTAGAAACGCTATTGCCACATGTACGTGATGTAATGAAAGGTGTTTGCGCGATTGGCATGTCCGGGTTCATATATGTCATCATGAACAACCTTGAAACTCATAACGTTGGCTTTTCACAACATTGACCCTTTGGTCAATTTCCTATTGATAGCTAACTAAAATGTATTAAATTAGACGCATTTTATACAAGGATTAAATTGACATTCAAATAAACAAATCTCATGAATAGATTCAAATAAAACATCTAAAAAGAGAAAAATCAGAATTCAGAATAAAAAGGAATCAAATATTATACGCATACCAAACGCCTTCAAAAGTAAAAGACCACCAAAAAGACAAAATAGAATTTGTTATGAATTTTAATGAAGGATTTTGGGCGTGGGGCTTTATGTAGAATAAGTTAACAGTATTCTTGTTACACACACACTGCGTCCAGGCACGTTAGTGGATGTTAAATTCATAGAAATATTTTATTACCTAGTGTTACACGCGCCATTACAAACACACAGGTATGCGTGGATTATGCAAAGAGGTCATGACTTGACTTTAAATGTTAGCGGAAATTGCTCTTATTGTTTAGTGGAAACCCATCTAACAAAGTCCTCAGCAAAAACAAACAGTAGTAATTCATTAATTTGCAGACAGTGTCCAAGTGTGAAAAATTATTTTCCAAATTAAAAAAAATAATCTACAAAATGAAAAATTATTCTGCAAAATCGAAAGATAAAATAGAAACTAGAAAAATCATTTTTCAAGATTCAAAATTAAATATTAAAATGGGAAATAAAAATAAAATGTATTTGAGAGCCCATAGTTTTGTTTTACTTTTGTTTATTGATTTGGGGAATTCCGGGGCCGGGAATTGTTTTTGAAAGATCATAATGTAGAATATTTTTCTGAAACGAAGCGAAAGGTGTAAACTCTCTTGAACAGTAATGTCACTTTTGATTGATATGTCGTATTTTATTTAATACAACGATGTAGACTACCACAACGGTACAACTATCTCTACCTAACCCCGTTAACTGTTTATTCAAATTATTCTCATATTTTGCAGAAGCTTTAAGATTGTAATAGACATAAAAACCGAAGTGGTGCAATAAATGGTGTTACGAGTATATAACAGGCTTAAATATATTCATGGGCCATGAATATTAAATATATTCAACATCACGCACACAAACACACGCACCCTTACAAGATATATCTAAGCAAACATCACCAAATATTATTATTCAGAAGCTTTCACATAAAGAGAAAATTATAGCTTCACTTTTACAAAGACAATACATTCTTAAGGGTGTTACCATGGCTATTGGGTCTTGTTTATAGATGGCGCGTTTACATGGAGTAGGATGGGGTACCTTTTACAAAAAAAAATCCCAAAACCTTAAGATAATTTCTAGGCTTCTAGATTTGATGCTTGAGGGTATTTGTTTTGTCTTTGGGGTCCAACGTACACGAAGCTAACGGGACTAGATGCCGAGTTTTGTTTGTAAGTGCACGTCTTTACAAAAGAAAATCCAAAAAACTTAAGATAATTTTTAGGTTTCAAGATTTGAAGTTTGAGGGTAATTTTTGACAACGTGTGTGCTGACTACCTTTCACATGAATTAAAAACTTACAGGACTAGATGGTACTTTGGCCTCATGCTAACTTTTGTTTGTAAGTGCGCATCTTTAATCCATATATATAGGCGCTTATATCGGTCCAGGAAGCTAGATACATTTACATTCAATATCTACATCTTTGAAGGGGTGGGATGGCCGAATGGTTAGCGCGCGCGTTGCATCATAAGGTCTGCCATTGAGTTAGCTAGCGTGGTTTTGACTCCCCGGTTGTACGTGACAAGGAGTAGGGTCGCATGTCCAATCTCGTAGGTTTTCTCCGGGTCCCACGGTTTCCTCTCTTAGCTAAAAGCGAGTTATTGAAATAATCTTGAACCATAAGACCTAGCTTATGTCGACTGGACGTTACCCCCCCACTCTCTCTCTCTCTCTCTCTCGCTATCTCTCTCTCTCCAGCTTTGAAATTATAATTTTTAACATCTCTGGAAATGTTAAAATATCAATAATCATGAAATATCCTTTAAGATGAAACTATAATTAACATAATGTTATATTTTAAAAATAAAAAAAAAACCCAAAAAACAAAAGTTACCCACCAGTTTACATAGTTATAGTGGAAATGGTTAAAATTAAAGACATTGTTTAGAAAAGCGCATTGGCAACCATTTGGAAAATACATATTGTACAAATTGGCTGAATACGGACTGATATCTAGTCATAGTTTCCTTTTTCTTTGCGAGACAAACATGTGTACATTAGCCCCATCACTACCCTTAAAGATTACTTGGCTAATCCCATTGAATCGTGTTATTTTTAGTAGAATCTTCTCTTTAGCACTGATCATGCACAGTTATCTGTATCAGTTATTATAAATCAAACAATATCATATCTAGCAATTAAGTTTTCCCAAGCTGCCCCATATCTGTAAAAAGTCAATGTCTTGTACAGGTGTTTGAAATTGCACACAAGACAACCTATTGTAGCTATACAATGGCGAATGCTCAATTATTAGATAATTTTATTGAAAGTGGATAATATCGAAACATTCTTCAGCTATTTAACCCCTTTAATAATAAAACTATCCGTTCTAATATACCTGTTAAATCTTATTTAAAAAATTGCATTGCATATCTTCGCTATCTGTGTATATATTTTTGCTCAAATTGACAAACACGACAAAGAGTACAAGAAATGTGATAAAAAAAACCATTAAAGAACAGGGAAACTGTGATAAAAAAGTTTATATTTTATACCACACAAAACTGTCAAAAACACAGAACGACAAAGACAAAAATAAATATCAGTAACAAAATCATCCAAAACAATATCTAAACAACCAGAGTGAACCGAATGCCAAGATCTAGCTGTGCTTAGGAACATGTAATATTTTCAGATTTAAATTTGCTTATGAAGCTACTATATAATACAGAAAAAACGCACCTGTTCCTGATATTGCCGAACTGTTATGACTGGATAAATTGGATTTTTCGTTGTACATTTACTATGTTAGCCAAAACATTTTATTGAAAGGCCCAAAACATTTTTTTTTCATTTCCGCCAAAATAAACTGAGTTATTTTAGTTAGTAATGCCCCATTCCATTACATTTCAATTGGGTGGAGGTTTTTTTTAACTGAAACTCTCAACTATTGAAAAGAAAAATGACACTTTGTTAACCTATAACATTAATCAAATCGATATAAATCAATTATAAATGGAATCGAATGAGTCTCGTCATCCCGTATTCATTATCCCAGTTGGAGCAGGACAGTAGGATTTTAAACCCCATTTCATTTCATTTCATTGAAAGTCTTGTCCACACTTTGTTTGGATAATTTTAAGACTAATATATAATGGTAATATTTATTTATATAACTACGTTTGTAATCCATGTTCGGGAATTTTGCAAAGTGGAGTTTGAGTGGAACCCTTTATCGTGCCATCCGAACAACTAGTCGCCCCTGACAAGTGAGAATAGCTTTAAAGTGTTTGAACCCGGTACACGTTCGTCATGAGTCCAGTGTACTAACCAGCAAAATTACAGGTGTCTTTAATTGTTTTACTAAAATTAGATTCAGCTCTATCTAAAATCTCAAATACATCTTATAAGCATTCTACCTACAGTAAATGTTCAACTTAGGGATTATGGGGTTAATTGCCGATATTTTGAAGTTATAGTCCTTTTCTCTTGATTTATCAGGTACAGCATGTTCGAAGGGTGGCATGACGATGAGCACCACCACCGCACCTCCGACAACCCCGACAAAACCTGATGTACGTCTACCACGTCACCTAGAACCAGTCTTCTATGAAGTAGAACTCCAGCCACACATGTATAACGACCAACCTAAAACATTCACATTTGATGGTAGTGTTAGAATACAGATCCGATGTGTAGAAGCTAGTAATAATGTGACCTTGCAGATAAATAAACTAAATATAACGAGAGACACTTTGCTTTTTGGCCGAGAAGGCACAGTCTCCGCACCAGCCATAAAATCCTGGAAAGAAGACACTACACGTCAATTTCTAATAATCTATCTTGACGGAGATCTTACAGTCGGTGCTACATATTACGTCGAAATGAAGTTTGTTGGACCACTAAAAGACGATTTGGCAGGTCTTTATTTAAGTAAATACGATTATAATAACGAAACAAGGTAATTCACGTGTCTTTCGTGTTTTTGACATATATATCCATGTTAATTTACCCAAAATATGACAGCGAAATTGTATATTTTCACTGTCCTAGGAGGCTGTCAGTGTTAGCGAGTAATGGTCGATGTTCATATCCATATTGGTCAACAGGTACAAAGCCGGTCTATTTGAAACAGCCACCAGGTCTATTTGAAACAGCCACCCCATATTGTCTTAATATTTCAAGAATTTTTAAAGAGACACAGATTCAGTGTCAATATATAGTTAGCGTCTCCATTTACATCCCTCATTCTAACCCCATTATCTTAAACTAAAGTACCCGCAGAGTACCGAATTGAACACTTGTAAAAATATCCCCGCTTCCTTCTTATGTGATTCTTAGCCTGTGCGTGTGGGTATTGGGTGTAAATTGCGACCTCAACTTTACATATATGTTTTAAGCTTTTTTTTGAAGAAATGAAATTTAAATATGTATTTAATCAAGTTAATGCTTTTTGGGAAGGAAAGTAATATTAGAATAGTTGTAAAATCATATTTTACGCCTACACAATATTAAAGTTGGGTATTTAAAAGTATCCACTCTCTATTCCACATTTTCTTGGTATCTTTCACAAAGCATGTTTCATATACCTTGGCATGTCGTCATTCTTCGTTATCGTACTTGCTACAGGATATATGGTCTAGAAATTATACCAGGGTCCATCGGAGAACAATACATGTGACAAGCTTGAATGAACTACAAAAAACGAGTAAAACAAACACATGTTTCATATCCAAAAACGGTTGATGCACAACTTACTAGACAAAGCAAACCAGAAAGATTCTGGACTGAATAAGCCCAAATATATATGCCACTAATTGTTTTGAATGCAAGGCAACTCTTTAAAATAACTAGGCTATGTCAATGCTTGAACACATTTGATAAATAGAAAGATGTCCAATTAATAGCAACCTTTGTGACACACCTTATGAACATTCTGAAATAACTGGCAAAATTCAATTTTCCGTAAAATAAGTGAAAAAATAATTTTAAAAATCTTTACAATTGATTTTAACTACTTTCAGATATGTTGCTACTACACAGTTGCAGCCAACAGATGCCAGGAGAGTGTTTCCTTGTTTTGATGAACCTGCCATCAAGGCCAAGTTTAATATAACATTAGTGAGGAAGAGCAATAAGAAGACTATATCTAATATGCCAATTGCTCAAAGTATCCCCAGGTAGTTATATGTATATTGCTATCGTTATTTATATGTATTATAAAGACATCATGAATAATTAATGATCCATTGATCCACAATTTAGCCAATGTACGCAAAGGGCAAGGACGCTGTCGTCATTTGCCCACAAATCAAGCGTTCTACGCTACCAGTCGCCCATAGTAGTCTCGATTACATGTTTATAAAAACACGTTTACAAAATGACTCAAAGATATTCAAATGCTGCTGATTACAACTGATGCTCAATCAATAATAATTTCTAATTGTAGAACAGATGATTGGGTAGCCGATGTGTATTACACCACGCCCAAGATGTCTACCTATCTGCTAGCTTTTATCGTCTGTGATTTTGATGTTATAAACCAGACAACCAAGAATAACATCGAGGTATAAAACGTGAACAGAATTTAAATATTCAACTTTAATATAAGTTGTTTTCTAAGCGTTCAAAATGAACAAACATATAGTAATTTCATCCCATTTTATCACCACGTTTTATTTAAAATCATAAAGCTGTGTATATACTATTATGTTCTTACGTCTTATCGTTTCTAAATCCAATATCCCATGAAGACATAAGACATTAGCACAACTATTATCATTGCAGCTTGTCATTCTGAATGTCGGTAGTTATTTTAAGTCATAAAACGTTGTAATAATTGCCAAAAGTGTTAAATCAAGCCAATTTTTAATCATGCTTTACTGCCCGCAATAATGTACATTATACTAATGCATCTGTGCTATGACAACCATTTTACTCTATAGTGTCTTCCTAATTTGTTTCAGTATGGTGCCTGGGCCACACCTGGTAAAACGGACCAAGCAACTTATGCCTTGGACACCGGAGTTAAAATATTAACATACTTCGAAGAATATTTCAATATCTCTTTTCCCCTTCCCAAGCAAGGTATGTATTATTTAATAACATGCGCCATGATTACAGCTCATTCATAACATGCGTCATGATTACAACTGATTACAACAAATAATGCTCAATGGTTACGACTAATAACATGCGTCAAGATTACAACTAAATGTAATAACATGCGCAACTTATAGAACAACTAATAAAATGAGCCATGATTACAACTAATGAACCGAGTCATGGTTATAATTAATATCGATTTTAGTCGTCAATCTCCACAATTTGCTTAAATTGCATAGAAATTCTATTTGGGAAGATCTAATGAATAAGGCCATTTGTATTCCATAAAAGAACATTTATCAAAAACGCTTAAGTAGGTGTAGGTAATATTTAGATATATATTGCTAAGCTACAATTTTTATTTCACCAACCAGATATTCAATAAAATATCTAATTTGGGGAGTTGAAAAAGTTTATTAAAATGCAAAATTATCTCCTTTGTATGTAAAATATAGATATGGTGGCTATGCCAGATTTTTCTGCTGGTGCTATGGAGAATTGGGGATTAATTATATATCGGGAAACGGCCATGTTATATAAACCCGGTGTGTCATCAGAAGGTAACAAACAGAGGGTTGCTGTTGTTGTTTCACACGAACTTGCTCATCAGGTAAAATTATTCTTACAGCTAAAACGAAGTCTCGATTATCCATTTTAACGTTAAATTATTAAATGACACACTTAATACCTCGCCAGCCGATGTCCCAAAGAGTTGATTATGGGCTTGTTATGTTAATAAATGTCTAAATAATAATTTACATAACACTGAAGTCATAAATTAGACTTACAAAAGGCGTAATATACCTTTAAACAGGTCATCTAAATATAATCACCGTATTTGACGACTTAGAGCCTGGTCTCGGAGCCACGGTGGCTAAATGAATAAGACGCTGGCTCACTGCATGGCTCGCTGGCCTGGAGATCGCGGGTTCGATCCCAGTGTTGACCGAGAAAGTTCATCAAGATTTTCCAGCGTTGTTTCCCCTTGTGAGTGGTACAGGACGGAGGGCCTGACAAGTTTATTCGGATGGGATGAAAGACCGAGGTCCTGTATACACATTGGTGTGCACTTTAAAGATCCCTTAGCAGTTGGAATTAGATAGGCTGTATAACACAATGTATGGCGTATGCCTGTTTTCATTAGCCCAGTCGGAGTAGAACAGTAGGACGTTAAACGCTATTTCATTTCATTTTAAAGACTGACCAGTTTGAAATTCTGTATGTATATATAATAAACCGAGTTGTTTATTTAACAAACTCAGCGTCTTTGTATAAATTAAAACTGAATAAATAATACGTTAGATGAAAGTTGGAAATAAACAGAAAGTTGTTTCAACTTTAAATAGCTAGAATTTTATAGTCTACAAGGATTTATTCGCTATAAATCAATTTATTTTGAACCAATATTCTTTTGGTTGGGGAACGTTTGATTGAACATGATTATGTTTTGTCTGTTTTTATCTGTGATGTTTTGTCTTTCAGTGGTTTGGTAATTTAGTCACACCGTCATGGTGGGATGACTTGTGGCTAAATGAAGGATTTGCTAGTTTTGTAGAATATATGGGGGTTGACTTTTGTCACCCGGACTGGAAGATGGTAGGTTTATATCAGAAATTATTAATATTTTGATGTGGCAATGTTTTAATGATTCAAAACTCTTACCTCTTGATTCAGATGATTAATCGTATGGTTTACTTTAAGCTATGCTCAAATACATGAGATTTCTGACACTTAGTTTCGAAGTAAGAGGAGGTTAAAATTGCGTTTTTCATCTATTCTTCTTTCCAATCGGATGTCATTGCAGACTCAATGGCGTAGCTAGGTTTTGTGCCCCTCCCCCCAAATACACACACGCAAGGGTAATTAACAAAACAATAAAAATCAAACATACTTAACCTGTTAAAAAAAACAACAAATAAACAACCCCCTCGCCTTGTTCTAATTACGCTACTGTGCAGAATAATACTAATATAATAAACATTGCATATCCTTTGCTTTCTAAGAAAGGCCCCCGTGTACAGCATCAAAATCCAGACAAAAGTGAAATTGCCTGTTACATGTTATCATTAACAGAACTCTTTTTGGGGTGTTTTATTTTCAGTTTGAACAGTTTGTTGTTGAAGATTTGCAGGACGTCTTTGATTTTGACGGTTTAACTACGTCACATCCGGTTTATGTACCCGTCGGTCATCCCGATGAAATCAATGAAATATTTGATAGAGTGTCATATGCTAAGGTATCATTAGTATTTATGCATACATGCAATTTTGGTTTTCACGATGTCCCCAGATATAAACAATCATTAATTGTCTAGATACGGTAAATTTACTTAAATATTAGATTCAGTAATCACTACTGTTTGTTATATTTTCTAATATCGTTTAATTTAACGAATCTCTGTTGGTTTAGTTAATATTTGAATTCTAATCATTTAACAACAGATACATATCTTTTTTTGCAGGGAGCTTCTATTATACGGATGATGAGATTTTTTCTCGGGGAGGATACATTCCGTTTAGGATTAACGGTAAGTATTGAAATAAAATACGGCCCTGATTGACAATACCATTTTAATTTTCGTGGAAACTATAAGCGTTGGTTTAACTAACTTTGATGCGTTGATTCGTTTGGCAATTTGGATCTCGAGCGAGAGGAGTTTAGATGTTATATCTATTGAGGCCATGTTGATACATAACCAATTTATTGTTGAACAACCGACTTCTGTAATGAAAATCTGATGGAGTAGAGCCTGTCCTCAAAATTTAAATAAAATATCGGATTTGAATGAAAATTACCAATTCGTTCCGTTTTATATAATTTAATGTGTACACACTTTTCCACTCAGTCCTGGCAGACGCACCAGCCAATTCGTCATCCACAATAAGTTGGCCATAACAGAATTCCGTTAACTAGATTGCAGGTTCCCAAAAAACTTGGTTAAACTATGCAGGTTTCCAGAAAGCTTGGTTAAACTATGTGTAGTAGTGCATGCTTGGATAAAATTTGATAAATGACCACGAATGGGCATCAAGGCTTTCATACGCGACAGAAAAGATCAGTCGGAAAACGACGAAGGTTGTATCAACTTAAAGGAGCTAAATCGTTAATATTTTGACCTAGAAATTAACACAAATGGGTCGCAACGCATATAATAATGTAATATGAATGTATATAAACTGATTTACATTCAATCGTTTTCGTTGTACTCAAATTTCATATCAGTTATGTTCGGCGAAATACGCCAGAAGTCTGGTTATTCCAGTCTACATCGAGAGTATTTATGCGCATGCTCTTTCGATAAGAATATGATGTCACCGTTTGACATGACCTGTGGAATGTGTCTAGCCTCGTTCTTCGAAGTCGCTTGTTACCAATGGCTCTGGAACGCATTATGGTACACGATTCGTGTACCAATGGTAAAATGTTTATTTTGTCTTAAATATTGGATATCAGAAGCCCATCGTTTCCCGGTAAGATCACAACATCAATGTTGATTTAAATTGACAAATAATTGGTGTTTTCAATGTCGAAGACTTTGGATGTTATTGAGTTAGAGACTTAGCTACTTTAAGGGTGCGGTGCAAGTTTCAGAAATCAAAGCCAAACAAGATGTTTATCTAATTTTAATAAGGCGGGTTTAATTGTATTATTCCATTTGTAATAGGACAAATTCAATACATGAAGAAAGCCTGACCCCACCCCCTACCAAAAAAAAGAGATGAAATTAAGAAAGTTCAACTGCTTGAACGTAATTCTACTACGAGCCCACCGGCTTCAAAATATAGTACATTTGACATAGGCCCACGGTTGTAAAATAGTTTCTATAATTTTTATTTCAGAAATATTTAAAGCGAAAGGAATATGGCGCAGCTTTCCATGATGATCTATGGCAAGCTCTGACAGACGTAAATATATAGATTTCTGATTTTTACAATGTATATTACTCTTAATTATCACAGGAGCTTGTAACTTAGAAAATCTTTTCCAAAAATAATATTAAGTTGAGGCTATGTATTATGCCTAGGGTTCGCTTTCCATGTACGCATTTAAAGTGAGGTTGTTAACGTTAAGTCGCCGCCTTTTGTTTTAATAACACCATGTTCAAAACATCTGCCATGTGCAAGCTGATTTTTTAGAAACAAGAGCGGTTAATTATCGTAGTGGAAGAGAACCCACGTTTGTACGCCAGAACGCAAACACACAAATGTCCCATTTGCAAGCTGAATTTTTAGAAACAAAAGCGGTTGATTAACTAAGTGGAAGAAAAATGCCAGCGAAAAAGTCCCTATATGGAAACGGCCCCATTATATCAAATCTTTCGCCGGCGGAAAGGCGTTCATTGAAGGCGGGCCTAAAGTTTCTTATTGTTCATAATAATGAAACCGCTTCTCTATCAGTTGAAATTGTTATGGTATATCTAATTTGTTATCGTATTTTTAATAAATCCCGTTGAGGGACCAACCATTGTGCTGTTTTGACAACTACGATGGGTTATATATATTGTAATTTCAGCAAGCTCAATCAGAAGGTAAAAGTATAGATGTTAAGAGTATAATGGATACGTGGACGTTACAGATGAACTATCCTACTGTTACCATAACACGAGAAGGTGACAACCTAAGTCTTACTCAGCAACGTTACCTTCGAGATCCATCTGCTGTAGATCCTATGAAATACACGTCAGAATTTGGGTAAGATTTAGATAGTATTTGTAAGGGAATAAAGAGCGCAAACAAAATGGCTTTTGAATATTGCTAATTTGTTCTTAAATAATATAGTCCATTATTTAAACAATGGAAATTTCACGTCTTTCGTCAGGCTGTGGGTGCCATTTGGTCACTTATATTCATGATCTTAATCTAAGGACACTTGTACAAATGAAATGAAATGAAATGGGGTTTAACGTCCTACGCTTCTGCACCTAACATGGGCTACACTTGTACAAAATTATCGTGCTAAATTAAATCAATCATATTATACTGTATTGTTTTGAATCACAGCAAGAGTGAAGACTTTAAAATTCAACGCATAATGAACATGACATGTTAGCAGATCTAGCTAATTGCCCACCCCTCATTCCAACCATTCGTTAATTACTATGCATGATCGTTTTTTTTTAGATTTTGGTGGTTTCGTCCAAGAGGTTTAAACAAGTAACCAATGTGTTTTACCTCATAATGCCACAGTAGATATTGACTTTATGAATACGTCTGTGCTTTGTTAACTTTGTCTTCTCTGCTTTATTTTCAGTTATAAATGGGAAATTCCTTTTACTTACACAACAAGCGTCGATAGGCACTTTAATAAATCAGATGCTGACGTAAAATGGATAAGGAAAACGAAATCTGTCAGTAAGTATTTTTACACAGACAATTAACGGGTTTGAGAATTGATCTTTGCCGTGAATGGCCGCGTTAGTGTACTGTTTTATTATGCGATTATAATCCATTTCATACACACAGAGACTAAATAAAATATGTTTTATTTCATTACATATGAAAATGAAAGCAGATAAAAGTTTTCTCGTATGGCTTTGTGTTTGTTCTCAAGCGGAAAGAAAATGGTCCATATGACACGAAAAGCGCATTTTGTTATGAGATTTCTTCCGAGGCAATAAAAGACAACGAATGCCATATAACATTATTTTCCGGAGTACGTAAAAAGATTTGTTCGACTCCTCAGGAACAAATAAGGGCGAGTTGCCAGATTAATGATTGAAATTACATTCGACAAACGTGTATTACATGTATAGCACTCAATCTATTTTGTATTTTTATACACCCACTTTTTCATGCGTCCGTGTATCCGTTGGTCCGTCGGTCCTTCCATCAGTGTGTCCGTTCACATTGTTTTTGTGGACCCTCAACATGTCAGCAGTTTTATTCGATTTAGGGGAAACTTGAAATATAGGTTTATATCCTAAAGATCTCGATTCCTGTCGATACGGGATGTGTCGGACTGTAACGTCGTGGATTATGGTCCATGATTGTACGAAAAATCGCGTTTTAGCTGGTGGACCCTTCATGGATTATAACTCCTGATTCTGCGAGAAAAGATCTTGAATGTGTTAGATATTGGTGCACAGCAAAATGCAACTTCTTATTTAATACAGCCTGGGTTGTCAATCCTGTGTTATGACAGACTAAATTATAATATAAATCTTGAATCATTTTTTTTTTAATTCAAATTCTATGTGAAGCATTGAGACAATGAAAGGATGAGCCCTATTTGTTTTCACTGTTGGGATCTTGCATGGCAACCGCTTGTTTTGAATATATTTTGATTATCAATTTCGTTTACAGTGACTATGATGGGTGAAGGACTACCACTAACAACAGATGCTGATGGTTGGATTATTGGTAATGTCCAGCAGTATGGTTTTTATAGAGTTAATTATGAAAATTCTAACTGGTTAGCACTAATTAATCAGCTAAACACAGACCATAAGGTATATAGTCATAGTTATCAGGATTTCCCACTGCGTTGTTTGGGTTATTATAAATAATCTTACATTTTTTTTTTTTACAAAGCCATAAAGTGTTTCAAATAATTATCATCTGTAATCACCTATGGATTTTGATGAATGGCTCAAAAACGCACTTGGTATATGCCAGGGTCAGGAATTAATCTGGATTTCGAAAGCGTTCTTTCTTATCCAAACATTTACAGCAGGTTTCTAAACAAAGACGACAGGAGCAATAACTTCTCATAAAATCGACAATTTTAGACTGGCCATACAATTCTAACAAACGTTTTAGAACGAAGATTTCCAGAACTTTGAACTCTAAAGCGTTTTACAAGATCAATAACTCCACATAAAATTTGAAACTTGATTCCGAGTTGACTTGCCAGGCAAGTTTAAAATAAAATATATAAAAACTCTGACCGGTATAACACATGCGTTTACAAGGTTATGTGCGGAAATCCTCGGGGCTATGATCAGACATAAAACAAATTAAGGAAATAACAATCTTTAATCAAGAATATAAAATATCTCAATACGCAGATGATACTACTAAGATACTAATTCGAGCGGCGCTCGAGATAATACAATCGAACACGCGCCTCAGCCGATGCTTTAAGCTGTATAATTTTGTGCATTATTTAATGATAAACTTGCAGAACACAGATAGTAATTTGTTCGTTTTTACAGACCATCCAAAGCTGCATTGACGGAGCGGATACCCATCCAACCCACCCCACGCTCCATCCCATGCTCAACACCACCACTAAATATTTCTCATTATATCTACTCCCTCCATGTTAAGGAGTAAGTAATCGGGATGTGGGAGGGGTTGTCGCGTTTCAAGCTTTAGCTAGCCAGCTACGTCAAGATTGTAGTTCAGGGTTCGGTCCCTGCAGGGTGTGAGCGGATTTGACTTGGCATAGGAATCAAAATGCCAGATACAATTAGGACCTCGAGCAAGATATCTTTGGCAGATTAGTCGCCCTCGTCAACGAATACTTACACCAGGTTGATCCAAAACTGACATCCTCTCTGCTAATGGAAAATCCATTACCAAAGCGTTAAAATTAACATGGTTTAAAATGCTAATCCATAAGGAAGAGTCAATTCCCAGGTTTACATTCCTTGACTGCGGCTTGAAGAAAAGTACCATACAATATATTTGCAGTTGGATGAGAATGGCCCCGTTTTGGAAGGACGTCCTGAAAACCTGGGCAGACTATGTTTTCAGAAGTTAACAAAATCTATAATGGAAAATGTACACAAATTGCTTTGCAGCCCTTATGGTTTAATGTTGATTGATATAAAATTATATTTTAAAAGATTGGTATAATGATGGGGTTAGAAATATATGTGTTATTTTAGAGGAAAACGGAAAGTTTAAAATATTTGAGAAACCCAAATTGTTATATAAATTGAAAGTGACATCCTTCCAATATGAAGCACTCCAACTAGCAATTCCAAAAGAGCGGAAATTAAACCTATTATCCCAACGTTTTCTCCTCTACCCCAACCAATCAAACCTAAACCACTAGAATTTGTCTTCAGTAAACAAAAGGGTTGCAAACATGTATATACTCTATTAACAGAAAATAATAGAGGAGAATTGAGCAATGAAATATTGTGGGAAGCCAAACTATGCAAAACCATTAAACATACATTATGCAAGGTCTTTCATTAGGCCAGAAATGTTATCTAAATTATTAATTAGACATTAATTAACTTATCCAGATCATAATCAACCCTTGATGTAATCGCTAGCCTGCGATATTTACTGGATTCGAATACATTGTGTGATGGATGATTTACTATGAATATACATTACTCTTTTAATATTAGAATATTGCTATTGATTGCACCGTTATTGATGGACCCATGTCTATGAATGTACTTTGGCTGTGCATATATATATATGTACATTATTATGCTTGTAAATGATCGCAGTTGAATTTTAAAAAAAAGAATAAAAAAGGGTTAAGGTGACAAGAGCAGTAACTCCACATTAAATTCGAGGCTATATTTGAACCAGATAATCTCAGCACATTTAAAATAAATTATAAAAACACTGACTAGATGGGCAAACTAAACGAGGGGCATGGTGACGACAAGTATGCTCCCACATAAAAATGTGAGCGTATAATGCTGCATTACTATAATAGACAATAAATTGCTCTAATTTATAAGCATTCGTTGTAATTTCAAACTAAATATTGCAGGTAATTACGGCGATAAACAGAGCACAGATTATAAATGACGCTTGGAACTTGGTCACGTAAGTATTATTATGCGTTACGGGTAGTTTTGTAGTATTAGTGGTAATGAATTTCTATTCTTTCCGATTGACATTTTTAAATTATACGACACTACAGTCTGTTTCTAGTTAATAATTACACAAGCGTTACCCATCTTCTTGTTCTTGTTATTCTTCTTCATCTTCTTAGTGGCAACGTTCTTTGAAAAAGCCTAATACAATCGACATGAAACTTGACTCTCCTCCAAGATGGATGCGATGACGTTTTGCTCGGTTCCTGGTCCATATGTACTATATAACAAAAAGGGTGGAATTGTTTTAATGTTTTAATCCACCGACTAGCAGCAGGTATTCGCTGTGATTATACATGACCTTATAGACTACTACCCAGGGTTTATTTAAGAGATTATGATGTATTGTAACATATTCCATAAATCAGTTTTGCAATTTTCAGCTCTGGAGATCTTGAAATGACGATTGCGCTAAAAACTTTAGAATATCTAAATAAAGAAGAAGACTATGTGCCCAGAGAAGCAGCAAGAATACAGATTGCTTTTGTTGAAAGAATGTTATCTAAATCGCCAGTATATGGAGCATGGAAGGTATGATAAGATATATATAAACATAAACTAAACAAAGGATTAGGTACTGGTAGTCCAATCCACTTTACAGAAATGCTTACGATTACCGCCGTAGATAAATCAAGGGCAAACGCTCTTACGTAATAAGGATTATCACTGCGAACGTAAACCAAGGTTTTAAAAAAACACTCAACCTAAGCTGACGATCGGACACTATTGACTCATAATCAAAGTCGACTTTTGATGATCCTTGAATTAAAGAGACACTACCACTCCAACCAAGAATATGAATATAATTAATTCTGATTAATACCATATTCAAAATATTTTACTAATCGAAAATACAAGGACTGACCCACGAGCTATCGATAAATTAAAACATTCGTACCACTCGTAAATTTAAAACGTGTGCCTCTCAGGGATGTTGTAGTTTTAAGAATTAAGAAAGAAATTTGATTACATGTATTTCAGAAATTTATGTTAAGTAGAATACAAGAGCCATTTGATCTATGGACAATGAATAATACTGGAGCCTCACATCTGGATTCGTAAGTTATTTTTATTAATAATATCCATGAGTACATTTAGAAGTAGTCTCATAACATTCATAATGACACGGGGATCACGTGGCTAAGTGGGTAAGACGCTAGCTCGCTAGCCTGGAGGTCGGTTGTTCGATCCCTGCATTGGCCGAGAAAGTTCATCCAGATTTTCCGGCGTGGTTCTCCCTTGTCAGTGATGCAGGACGGAGGGACTGACAAGGAAAGCTGTCTAGTCGTTCGGATGGGACGAAAAACCGAGGTCCCGTGTACACATTGGCGTGCACGTAAAAGATCCCTTGGTAGTTGGAATTCGATATAAGAGTAGGCCGTAGTGCCGCTGTCCGGGCAAAATTTCCCTCATAGCACACTGTATGGCGTATGCCCGTCTTCATTAGCCCAGGTTAGGAGCAGAACAGTAGGACGTTAAACTCCATTTCATTTCATTTCATAATGACACAACCATGTGGATTTACTACGCCTTATTTCATTGCATACAACGTTTCAATACTCTTATATGTATTTTGATCAAGCAATGATCGATAATGAATCCAACCATACATATATAGCACAGTCATAATCTGAGTCATCACAATAAAATTGTCGATTTCAATTAATTGCATGTGTTGTTGATTTATTTTGTCAGATGACCCTCTGTTCTCTTTAAAAGAATTTACATGTAAACTAAAGCCAGATTTGAGATTTGATCGTTTTGTGTTCCACTGTAGACACAGGAAACCACCGAATTAAAACCCAAATCTTTGGAAATTTAATCGTATACTTGTCCCCAACACGCCAATCAAATTCGAAGCCCACATATACAAAATGACATGTATGTGTAACAGCCGTTCTAATAACAAAATAGTATCGGGAGTACGTGAACTTTGCCTCGTGCACGACACCCGACATTATAACTAATGTAAACTCCCACCATATCCATCACAAATTGATATCTAATTCGAAGCCCACATATACAAATGACATGTAGGTGTAACAGCCGTTCTAATAACAAAATAGTATCGGGAGTACGTGAACTTTGCCTCGTGCACGACACCCGACATTATAACTAATGTAAACTCCCACCATATCCATCACAAATTGATATCTAAACGTAAGTCAGTCAGTCAGCCAGTCAGTGGGGCTTAACGTTCGTTTCCACCAAGGGTGTTTCGTGGTTAGAGACGGAGGCCATTAAGAGACTTAAACGTTTCCATGTCCTTGGTTGTAGTCGGAAGTGTGCCTTTTAGGTAGCAGTGTCCAGGGTAGTATTAATGACCATATAGACTCCATATATAAAGGCGTCGCTAAGGGTATCGCTAATCAATCTCCTAAACAGAGTTGTCGTCCCTTTCAATTCACACTAATGCTGGATAGGAGACCATAGGAGAGATGGCGTGCTTGAACAATCTGGTCAGCTTTGCCACCATGGCTCCGATCTCGACAAGGCTGGATTCATATGGAAGATTAGACCTGCTGGCAGATTGGACTAATCTTTCCTCAGTCTAAACGTTGATCTAATAAACATTAAACATAGAGTTTTAATGTACTCTTGCTGGTGTAGCATGGTCTGCAAATATACACAATCAAGACATTTAAAAGAAAGAAAAAACATTCAGGTGTTGGACTTCTTAATTGGTAATATCTTTGTTGAATTTGGAGGGGAAATATATCAGTAAGTGGTAGGTATCCTGGGTACCAACTGTGCACCTTTACGTGCTGATTTGTTTCTGTATTCTTACGAAGCCGATTATATATAGGCACTCGTAAAAACAAAAAAACGATAAGTCAGACGTTTTAATTTCTCTTATCGATATATCGGTGATGTTCTATCACTGAATAATTCTAAATTTAGTGATTATGTAGAATTTATATATCCTGATGAGCTCGAAATTAAAAATACTACTGACAGTGAAAATTACGCTTCCTACTTGCATCTGTGTCTCGAGTTTGACAATTGCCATAAACTGAGTGTTAAATTGTACTATAAACGTGAAGGCTTTGACTTTCCGATTATCATCTGTCCATTTATTAGTAGTAACATTCCGATATCACCAGCTTACGGAGTGTATGTATCTCTGCTAGTTCGATACGCAAGAGCCTGTTCCGTTTATTCTTATTTTTTAAGTAGATCGAGACATTTGTCATCTACAGGGATACTTCCCCACTAAACTTACAGAAGCCTTTAAAAGGTTTTATGGCCGTCATATTGATTTGATTAGTAAATATAGCATATCTCTTTCGGCTATATATTTAATTGACGTGTATACTATCTTCCTGATTATGTCTACTAGTACTACATCTGTTAACACTGTTCATCATGTGCATTTTGCATACGGAAAGTCCATTGGCCAATTACGTTATTTTGCCAAGCTGTTTGGATGCAGCTATTGCGGGTGTGGCCTTGGGCAGAGTAAGCTTACTCTGCCGGAGACCTGTTACTACTGTTCGTCGTGTATTTTGTACACGGCGTACAATCCATTTCCTGATTACACCATTTTCCCATACCGTTTTTTTTAGGACTTCGAATTTTGGATTGTTCGTACTTGGTTTTATTTTATTTATCATTTAAATAGATCTATTGGAATTTAAGTTTATAATTGTGTTCCGATAGACTATGATGAGTGTCGTTTTAATGTTTCGTTAAATTTGGGTTTTGTTTTGTTTTATGTTTTTAGTTATGTGAGATCTTTGGTAGTATCAACAGCGTGCGATTATGATTTACCGGCTTGTATTAGTAATGCCACGTCATTATTTAAGCAATGGATGGAAAATCCCAGTAACAATCCGTAAGTTTTTAATGTAACATATCTTATATTTGACATTTACATATACGTGAAAGGATAAAGTCACTCGTGCAATTGTCGAATGAAATGAGTTACGAGTACATAACGGTCCATGAGCAACCCCAGGAGTTCCGGGCTTTGCCCAAAAAGTCCTCGGAATTTTTTGCTCTGGTTTTCCCCTACCACTTGTACAGGTCGGGCGGCATAGCAAGGAGAATTCGATAAAACCTGGGCGGAAATGACTCTGTTCTATCAAAATATCCGTTTATTAGTACGGTGGGTGCAGAAAACAGGACATTATACCCTATTTCAATCATATATTTACCAAACGGCTAAATAAAAATAGATTATATCCTAATATTTTGGTCTATGATTTATGTGCTTTAAGAGTACTTTTATTTTCAGTGCCTTGTGAAAGGGGAAATGTTACTGTAATGCAACCGTGTCTTAGTCTCTTATTACTGGGAGTCAAAATCAATGTTAGCTTTCGTAAAATGCAAAATTGTCCAATATATTCATATTGCTTTCGCACGGATTACCGGAAATTTAACTCAACACCATTTATGATTTAAGGGAATAATTGCAGATTTAATGCCCCAAAAGTTTAGAAAAGAATAAATCAGCTATGCATTACACAAGCGACATAACTTCATGGAATATTTTTCTCTCTGCTTACAGAATTAATCCAGGAATAAAGACCAAGGTCTATTGCACAGCCATTAAGTATGGTGGTGTTGCAGAATGGGATTTTGCCTTTGAACAATTTAAAACAGCGGACGTTGCTGCTGAGAAAGTAAGACTGTTACAGGGTATGGCATGCAGTCAAGAACTGTGGATATTGAGAAGGTGGGTACGAGTACGAGCATAGAAAAAAGCTTTCGGCATTCTGTGAAGAATATGTGTCCTCTTCCTGTGACACTACACCCGCCATTATACTTGTAGACAAAATGTAGTATGGCCAACGCTAGAGGATATCATTGGGCTCACCAGCAATTCAGTTAACGCAGTTGTTAAAAAATGCATTATGTAAGAGCGAAATCTGCATATTTCAGGTCTGATTTCCTTCTTCAAATGTTTATAAAGTATCATTTAGACGTGTATTCACACGAGGGGTCCATAATCAACTCTCTAGCTCATCGAATGGCAGAGATATTGGGCGAAATAGATCATATCTGCTATATTTTCGTTAAACTTATAGATGGAAATTCAAGACTTCGTTATTATCGTAGCATTGGCACTTGACAAAATTTCAAACATTCATAACTTCGCTCCGAATGAAATAATTTGACTGGGATTTTCAATATATTCATTTTTCGTTATCTATATTTGAACTATTATAGCAAGAGCTTTGACCAGAGTAAAGTAATTTGACTAAAACTTTCAATATATTTTTTTGACTAAAACTTTCAATATATTCTTTTTTCATTGTCTATTTTTAAAACTATTATAGCAAGAACTGTCAATTCTTTATCCAAATATTACATTTAGCTGTATTTAGTTTTTGATGTATTGTTCTGTCTTGGTACTAAAGAGGGTATTTGCAGACCATCTTTAATTACAGAATATGTAAAGTATGTGTTTAAATATTTTCCAGATATTTACTAAAAGCTATAAGAAAAGAAGATATAAGAAAACAGGATACATTGAGTGTGATTATATATGTATCAACTCATGCTTACGCGCGTTCTTTTACTTGGGACTTTGTTAGAGAACACTGGACTACCATAAAAGACGAGTATGTACTTTATTTATTTTATTTTTTTTAAAAGATTTAATAACATAATATAGATTAGTTATTTTCATGTAAATTTGAGAATTTTATTGTGAAATTCTTGGATTAGATATAATAATGAACCCTATCAGCCATTTTAGGTCTGTTGCCATTTCCAAATTTATACTTTTCAAAAATTTTTAAGATAAGAGCCATGGTGGCCCAGTGAGTATGACGCTGCCTGGCTGCTCATTAACCAGACGGTTCCGGATGAGTAAAAAAAACGTTGAAGTGCATGTAAAAGAACCCTTGACGGTTGGAATTCCTATGAAGCGCGAATGTCACCCATAGCATACTTCATTGGTGCAGAAAAGTTAATTTAATTTTGAACCATTCAAATAGTGTTAAACAGCTCAGACGACAAAGTTATAGTGAGTGTGTGTGTGTGGGGGGGGGGGGGGGTATTTCGTTGCCTGGCAACCTACCTTTATTTATTTTTTGTTTATGATGCAATTTTTTTTCTGGCAACCTACCTTTATTTATTTTTTGTTTATGATGCAATTTTTTTTTTTGACAGTTTCGCAGTGTCTTTGTTTGCCTTCTCCAATATGATAGGACGTGTAACCCAGGCCTTCAACACACAGTTTGAGTTACAACAGGTAATGGTCATGTAATAAATATATGATTTTAAAACAATGTTATTAAGTAGGCGAGACATGACTTAGTGAGTAATGCACTCGCTCGCTAACCGAGAGGTCTCGGGTTCCTCGGTTCTTTCCGTCGTGGTTCCCGGAGGTCTGGCAACGAAGAAAATCTAGATGTTTGGAGGTGACGGAAAACCGAGGCCCCGTGTACACATTGTCGTGCATTTAAAGGAGTTTTCTTGATAGGTGGGTTTCGAAATAAGAATAGTGCCGCTATCCGGGCAAAATTTCCATTATAAGACACTGCATAGCGTATGCAGTCCAACTTCATTAGCCAAGTCGGTGGAGAAAAGAAGGGCGTTAAGCCCCATTTCAATTCAATCCGTTAATACACACGTGTTGGGTATAATCTCAGAAAAAAAGTGATCAGACAAAATACACGGATACCAGACGAAATATAAATGTATATCAAATTAACAAGCAGAACACCCACATTGCATATGCCATAATTATAATAGCGTATTACAATGACATGATGGTTAAAATAAGTATATGAAATGTAATTCTCGCGCAATAGCAAAACCGACTTCGATTCGGGAGAAAGGGCTATTTTTGTATACTTTTACGGTGATCTCTAACATAATAATATTATAAACTTTTTTATTTGTTCTTGCAGCTCGAAGAATTTATAAAAAGTCAATCCGACTTCGGTTCTGGAGAAAGAGCTTTTACACAAGCCTTGGAAAAAGCCAAGACCAATATTAAATGGATAAATCAACATGAAAAAACCATAGAAACGTGGCTGGCTGGTTTAGGATATGAGTAATTCTGTTATCTTCATTTTTTGTATGTTACCTTATTGGTTTCTTTTTTGTTGAACAAATATTTTAATTGGGGTGTAACATAATACTTATAATAGTTATTAGATTTGTAAATATAAAAATAAATATGCTTTAAACCAAATTTATGTTAAGGGCGTAAGTTGGTTGTGGTTTTCATCATGCATTTAACCGTTTTCGAATTTTTAATTGAATTGTACGAAAACGTGCTATATCCGAAATTGCAGAACAAAATATAGAGTAGTTATACAAATAATTTTATAAGAATAGATTATTAATCTCTGCGTGTTTTTATACGCCCACATTTTCATGTGGACGTATCATGCCGTCGCCCCTGTCCGTCCGTCCGGACGCCCGTCCACAATTTGTGGACACTCTACAGATCACAATTTTTATTCGATTTTAACGAAACTTGAAATATAGGTCTATCCCCCAAAGATCTTGGTTCCTTTCGATATTGGCATGTATCTGATATGGCCCCTGATTGTACGAAAAATCACGTTTTTAGCTAGTGGACACTCTAGAGGTCACAATTTTCATCTTGAAATTCATGTTTATAACCCAAAGATCTTGGCCCCTTTCTATTTTTGCGTGTATCGGATTGTAACTTCCTGAATTATGGCCCTTGATTGGACGAAAAATCGCATTTTCAGATTGTGGTCCCTCTAGAGATCACAATTTTTATCGATTTAAAAACCGTTTATCACCGTTACATCCTAATGACGTTCGAGTTTGAATTTCGTAAAAAAAAAAAAAGAACTAAAACTGTCGGACAAAATGGCTGCCCCTCCTTGTGGACCATCTATAGGCCACAATTTTGATCCGATTTTGATGAAACGTTAAACTTATGTTCAAATCACAAAGACCTTGGTTCCTCTCGATAATCGCGCATATTCAAATGTAACTTTCAGGATTATGGCCCCTGATTGTTTGAAAAATCGCATTTTTAGCTCATGGACCCGCTAGAAATCACACTTTGTATTCAATTTTAAAAACAGTTACATATCAATGAAGGTTAAGTTCGAATTTGGTGAAAATCGAACCGAAACTGCCCGACAAAATGGCCGCTCCTTGTACGCAAATCGTGTACTAGTATGTAATACTAAGGTTGTGGACTCCACAATTTTTGTCCGATTTTGATGAAACTTAAGATATATCTGTATATCCCACAGATCTCAGTCCCTTTTGATATTCGTGCATTTCAGACCATAACTTCAGGGATTATGGCCCCTGATTGTACGAAAAACGAAAAATCGTGGGGTTTTTTTTTAGTTTGTTTTCTATCCATCTCTTGCAAAATCTGGGCGTATTTTGCCTGGCAGCCGCTGTTTTTTTTGTTTTTTTGTTTTAAAAAAATAATACATGTTGGCTACTTCTATATATTTGTCCAAAATAGGCCGCCTACTATAGTTTCAAGTTAAAAGAAAAATGTATGGTCAACACCCTACCCAAAACTAAACAGTGTACACCCAGATGCTTTATGTAATAGCTAAATCTTTATATAGCGGGGTTTATTTTGGCTTCAAAAGTTTTATAAACTATTATTTAGACACTTGTTCACATGACAAGCATATAAAATAAACTCTCTTAGCCATATGATGGCCGAGATTTAAATGGATTGAATCACGAACGCCGTTTAATAATTTAATTTCACAGATCTAGATTTGTCAAGTACCGTAACTACGATAATAACCAATCCTGTCAAAACTTCAAACACTGATAAATTGCGCTCAGAATAAAGTAATTTGAATGAAATCGTGCCCTATGCATCTTTACCGAAAATAAGGAAATATGATACACAATTTGTCTCTCTCGGCCATGAAGTCCCAGCAATAACTGTCAATATGTTTGTATTAGAAAAATGTCTCGGGTCATCATTTGAAGGATGTTTAATCTATTTGTAAACTAAAACATTGTGCAAGTTGAAACCCTAACAGGAATATATGTCCCCAAACTGTTCAATACCTTGCAGTATTTATCAAGATGTTATGTTGAATTGACAATTGATCAATCAAGCCAGCGTGACGTTTATTATCGGTTGATGGACTTCTGTTTTATCCGATTGAGTCCCATACGTCTTTTGTTGAGTATATTATGTTAAATCATAGAAATATATACCTATGGTTAAATGATAATATGAATATAAGTACACTTTAGCGTGGATTGCACAGTGATAACTTATTCTCCGAATAATATATATGACTACCAGCGGCTTTATTTTTTTTTATCATTATGATGATTCATATCATTTGTTGAATTAAAAACAGTTTTTTTAATGCACATCCGTTGATACCGACGTCCATACATTTACTACAGCTTTAAAACATTTGAGAGTTTTATCTTATAGCTTTTTTATTCATTGTTCATCGATTTTTATATCTTTAGGTTGTGTTGTTTGATTAATCATTTAATAAGAAGTATACCCTCCGACACATAGTCGTTTCATTGAATTGTTCTCTCGATTTGTAGAAGACGTCACTGCCGTATTAAAATTTAACATAAATAAACCTATCCAAGGCAACGCAAGGCTAGAACCAAAAACACTCTCATCATTGTCCTTTGAATTTAAAAAAAGCCGCGATTTTAAAGCCTCATATCGATTATTTTATTCTTGCTTTAGCGAATTGTCTGGCACTATTTTTCGTTCTTATTATTTTGCTTGATAAAATCTGAACTATAAACTACACGAAAGAGTATATTAGAGAGTTATTAACTATTAATTTGCAAGCGAACGTTAAGCTTCATTCTAGGCCAATACAAAATTAAACCGAAACGTATAAGATGTAATCTTAATAAATATATTTCATATAAATAGATGTCTAATTAAGGTATAATATTAGAGTATATATATTGTTTATTATAGATTTGTCTATGCTTTGTTTTATATTGTCTGATTTTAATAAATGATTTTTACTACGATTATTAAATGATTAATTTTGATATAACCGTGCAATATTTTCGCTATACGAACTCCTCACATGATCTAGTATTTCCAGGCATAAACGTATGCCCAGGGTAAACTAAATCTGGTATGTATGGTTCTTGGCGTCGCTTTTGAAACCATTGGCTAAATAGTACCGCTAAAAGCAGAGATTGTTATTGGTGGTTTTGCATGAACAAGGTCATATGTCCTATCTGGATGGTAGCTGACAATCAGGTGTCTAAAATAATCAATTTGCTTTAATGGGGTATCACAAAGATATTTACCTTGCTTTATCATGTTTGCCACATTCTGTGCATAATTAACGGATAGTATACAACATGAAAATGCCTTTTTTCAAATAAAAAACCTTCTGAACTCGCAAAAGGAATTCCACTGTGCAGGTAACTGAACCAGTGGCGTGCCCCGTCTGACAATAATGTGTGAGATAACTATATTTCTTAACCTCAGACTACTATATTCTTAACCTCAGACTAAGATTCTGTTCTTAGTCTACTGGAAAGAAGGTTTGGGTCGCATTGAAGAGACGCCTAAATTCTCCAATACACGGTTGGCGATAAAGCAGTTCAACCAGAAGAGCGATATATTATATGTGCATAGACCTGCCTTATGTGAAGTACGTAAGGGGTAAATTCCCATTTAGGTATATATACAAGTAAGTAACGGATCATTCGCATATTTTGTACCTTTTGAAATTGTAGGCCTATAATGGTGTCATAAATCAAGGTTCACACCACACTCACCCTTGTTTATTTTATTACATTTTTTCTCCGATTATAGGATTTTTTTTTCTCGGAGTTTCAACAATGAGATAATTAGAGATAAAAATAGACTAAGCAAGGCTCCATTGCCGCCATCTGCGTCAGTTACATATAGTTACTAATGAATATTCAGCCAAACAAAATCCCCGTAACTTGTTTATTTTAAAGGGAAATAAGGAAACTGGCAGTGAGATACTTGTTTTCGCATCTGATCTACCAGACAAGCATCAGAGACTTTCAGGGGAAACTCTTGACTTTGTTAGAAGGGGGGGGGGAGAGATAGCATCATTGTATGTTACATATATTACATGAATACTTAAAAAAATATATCTTTAGATTTATTATTTCACTCAGTATTATTATTATTCAACAATTACTTTATACACACTATTGAGAATAATTAACAGTTTTAAAATATCCCTAAATTATATATCATATATTACATTTTTTTATATCACAGATTTATATATTATACAAATGACTCGAAAAACAAACAATACATGGCTGCATGTATTATTGGTCCCTGATTAGTCATAAAATAAAACAAGTTCATTGTCCTTATTTTGATATTGTGATCAACCCATTTATAACATCCAGGTTGTATTTATAATACTGCACAAAAAGAATAAAATGTAATTTAGGCAGCTGATGAATATTTGCTGGTATTCTTGTTAAGTATATTTTATTTTATTTTGATATCCTTAATTGTTGTATTTTAGGCAGCTTCAGCATCTGGTGTTGGTGAAGGTTTGTAGAATGGATCTTTAGTCAACATTAAATCATGTAGTTTCTTTAATGCTTCACTATCTGATGATATTGGATTTCTCTAAAACATTAATTATGAAATGTATCAAAATACAAAGACTTTATAATTGAATTTATTTTTCTATAGTTCAATTTTATTTTTAGCTTAATACTGGTAGTAGAGATAAAATGGTACATTTCATTGATTAAATCACTCAGGCAACATATTTAACAATTTTGGTTATAATTAATATTATTGAGTGGGTTAGGGAAAAATGATGAATCTGCACCTTCAAATCAGAAAACTTAGGTTAGATGCCATCTACAACTAAGACCAAAATATAAAGTAAGGAGAACTGAGATAATATCCCTAAAGATGAAGAGAGAATATATTACCTGGAGGTTAATCCTCATTAAACCTGTACCACTGTGTTTACTTTCTAATTGTGTTAATGTTGTTTGATATTGTACAGCTTTTAATAAAGCCCGTACACCCTCTTCATCTACTTGATTTCCTGATAATATAAATATCAAATATTTGACAAATTTCTGATAACTGTAGTAAAGGGTATTTGCAATCTAGCAGTTATTTTGTTGTCACAATGGGATACTTGGATTTTTAATTTTAATCTATAGTTAGTCACTGATGTGAACTGTTATAATTCTATAAAATTATCAAGAGCTCTCATCATTAATAATGGCACCAATAATTTTATATCATGTTAATGGGAGGAATGGAACACTGTTGGAGTGTGCCAGCAAGTTAATATTGATATAATGATAATCTTATTATGACCACACAGTGTATTCTGAAAGATACAAGCCCTGGTGTATTGGTCTTGAAATTGCGATATGCTGAGTTAATCAGGTGTTCTAGAAATCAACTGGCTCAGTGACATCAATCATCTGGTTCTACAAATCTGGACATAGTTTTTGTACCAATCATGAGTCACAAGAGAGTTTCTCCCTCTTTAGCTAATTCCTTGAATAATGGAGAAATGGGGTTTAACGTCCACTCAACACAAACTAGGTCATTTCGGGACTAACATATGGTTTAATTTTATTTACATAATTCGCTTGCGCATAGGGGTCTTTAGCAGTAGGAGGAAACCGGAGGACCCGGAGAAAACCCACGAGGTTGGACAGGCGACCCTACTCCTTGCAAAGTACAACCGGGGATTCGCAACCACGCCAGTCGACTCAATGACAGACTTTATGATACAGCGCGCGCACGCTAACCATTCAGCCATCCAACCCCCCCTGACCAATCAAGTGAATAGTACTTTGTTATTCTCTGCCGTCAGTCTCCCACGCAATCATGTTATGAGGCATCTTTAAAAGAATAGTGTCGGCTTTGATTTCTCAGACATCATTCCTACACAATGGGGAGATCTTAAAGTTGGTTCTCACACGGGAATATAGGTTAACAATGCTTGTTTTAAATACAGTTATGGTAAAATTAAGTTACAAGTAATACTAGATAAAAGAGAGTAACATTGCTTGCTAAAAATACAATAAACTTTAACTTACTAGATAAATTGAGATTGATTAAAACACGATTGCCAGCAACCCATAATTCACCATCCATATAATCTGCTACTTCTAATAATGGATTAATCACCTCAGATGCTTCTGTTGGCTACAATTGAAATACACAAAAAATAGGCTAGAAATGGAAAACATTAAGCAACATAAAATGTAATATTTTTCCACCTATATGACAAGTTTGCTAGATGCATTCATGAACAAGCCAGTGTTTTACATGATAACACAAATCATTCACACAAATCTCAAATGTCATAATTGTGTACCCTTTTGATATAAATTTAACTTTTAAAATGAAAAAAATGATGATTCAAATAACCGTTAGACCAACAAAAAAATATTTCTGTTGTTATTCTATTAAAGATGGTGGTGTTAAATCAACAGAAACTGATGTTAACTTTAAATGGCACAACTGATTCAATCTGATTAAAATACAGATCTATATTTTGTTTCGTTTTTTTTATACTTTCGAAGTATAACAAAAGCTACAACAAGATCTGACAAGTTGTAGCGATAGGTCGCGTCAGGGGTCATACGAGCGGCTTTTGACCCTATGACATCAGACATTTGATTAACCAATCAGCATTGATGTTTCTAATGGATTACCCACAGTTCCATGCAAAACACGCCTAAAGCTCGCCGTAACAGAACGTTTCATTGGCTAATCCCTAACACCACCCAGAACACATCAATGTTAACAACTCTTCCAGATCCTAGAGTAGTAAAGACAAGTAAAACAAAATTTTGAACTATAAAAAACGAAATGAAATAGGATATTTTAATCAGATTGGAATTGATTTAAGGCCCTTATTCCATTTAATGTATTTACCTCTTGTTCCTGGGGTGTCATCTTTTTCTTTCTGTCTTTAGTTTTTCCAGCATTTTTACCAGCATCAGCAGCCATGGATGCTAAAATACAATAAATGAACAACTGTAACACTCATTTGTTGCATTTAACAAATAAACCATTTCATTAAAAATTATATAACTTCCGTTATTTGAATTTCTATTTTAGTTTTTTTTTTAAACAAAAAGCATAGTAAGAAGAGGTAGAATTTCTTGTTGTAGGTAAAAAAATAAATATCCTAATAAATTGGAACTCAACTGGAATTATTTAGAACTATTTATATCATATGTTTCATAGCTAATACATGTTTTCCTAATAAATTCATTGTATAAATAACATAACACATAAGATATTTGTTTTACAACACCTGTAATAAAAGTACACAGACATTTATTATACAACACCTGTTGACAACAAAACACTTAGTGTTAGTAGTATGATATACAGTGTTTGTTTTACTCTTATTAGATTGTGGAGCCATTATCTAAAGCTGACATTGTATACCTATTTCACACTTAAAAACTCCTAGGTTTATAACCCTCATTCTCCTTTTTCTTTCAAGTTGAGATAAGGGAAAAACAGGAATGAATATCAAAGTCAACATAGTTCAAAAGGTTTGTATATTCTTACTGTCTAGTCTATACAGAGGGTCCATCATAAGAACACAAAAGATAAAATATAATGACATTCCCATTAACTATGGAAAGTTATGCTATTCGTAAACCCAAGGCTGTTGCAAAATGGAGCTGTGTGCAATAGAGCTGGTTAATCCTGTATTGCCAATCGAAAACTAAGATGCCACTTTGTGTTAATTTTAATTATACATTTTACTAAAGCAACAGTTGATTGATCAAGCATGGAAATAAGCAACATGAACATGTCACTGACAATATCAAGCACAAAGTCATGTTCCTTTTTTTGGGTCACGATTTTTCTTTTCTTTTTTGTATGTTCTTGCATATTTTTAATACTTGTCTGACACAAAGTTAAAAGTAATAGGTAGCTAAGTACAATCTTGACATTTTGTCAAGTTCATTATAGCCAAGCCTTCTGTGTTGATATATCTTTAACACATACCATCAATCTGCAGCTAAACCGTGAAATTGGAACAAGGACATGTATTTGTTTTAATATTTTATATAAGGACATGTATATCTTTTATATTATACATAGACAGAACAGACAAACCACAACAAATAGTCTAAGTGAAATGCAAATGGACATGTTTAACATTTCCTGAACATAATATTCCAGTCTTATTGATTATTTTCATTTCTATTATGATCACATATATATGGTCATATGCAATGTTTGTGGGGGGGGGGGGGGATTTGAATTTGCTTAGATTGCCATTTTGACTCATATCAAATACATTTTTTTGTTATTATATAAATTCTCTTGCATTATTTATAGTATTTTAATATATAATTTTATGGCCTGTAAATGTACTTCTAGGTTAATTCTCCAGCCCGTAATTTGACAGCCAATAAATATAAACTAGGAAATATGACCAAACTAACAGTAGTATACAATCAAGCCTTTTTAACACTTTATTTAGGACATTTGGAGACTGACAAGACAATATTTAAAGGGGCATTATGTAAGATTTAGATACAGAGCTGGCCCTTCTTGCTATAATATTTCTAAAATAGATAATGCAAAATTAATATATTTAAAATTTCACTAAAATTATCAATGGTTTTAGTTTTGACAAGATGTGTGCATTGATCTTAACAACCATACTTGACATTCAAGTCTTAGTCTTGCTTTTCCATTTTTAAATTAAATCATTAAATGGGCAAACCGTTGCAATCTACTTAAAATCGAGGCCATCCGATGGCATCAAGAGTGGATTATGGTTTTGTGTTAATAAACGTCTAATTAATAATTTATATAATGGCAGATTTCGCTCTTACATAATGCCAGTTTAATAAAAAGAGACCATAGTTGGGAAATAGATAAAGATGACAAGACATGACAAAACAATACGGTGGCTAAACATGCCATACCAGACACTAGAGACATGAGTCGAACAGCTGAAGAAGAAAGTGTGAAAATTATTAGATTAGAATAGGCTTATAGTGAGTGCATTGCTGGAAATAAAAAGAAAGAAATTTTCTTTAAAAAGAAACTGGTTAAATTTATAATTCAGTAAAATACTTCAACTTGCAAGAAGAAAAACTCTATATTCAAATGTTTCTAATCCTAATCTAATTTTCCTATCTTTACCTATTTATATAAAATCTAGGCATTGAAATTGTGTTATATTCACATTTTTATAACTTTTCAATACAAATTCAAAACTACTTAGGTATAACTTTATTATAATTATTATTATATACTAAACAGCAAAAAAAACGTCAGTACGATTTCAAAATCAGAGAGGCACTTGAATCAAATAATTCTAGAAAACGATTTACTAAATGGATCAAAGTAATTTTTTGTGAACAGTATGTTGACACATTGATTAATTCATCACAATTCAAAGACATAACGAGAAGATTTAGAGTCTATACATTAGTATATGGTGTGTCCACCGCGAGTGTCAATAACAGCAGTGCAGCATCTGTACATGGAGTGGACCAAACAATTGATGAACCCCATTGGCACCTGGAACCACACTCTCAGAAAAGCCTGGCGACGTTATTAAGTCTCCTCTGAATTTCATCCCAAAGATGTTCAATCGGGTTTAAGTCTGGACTAAGGGCAGGCCAGTGCATAATGTTGACACCGTTCTGCTGTAGAAAGTCCTGAGTAACTATGGTGGTGTGGGCACGGGCGTTGTCATGCTGAAAAACGTTTCGATGACGTGCGAAATGTGGTATGACGTGTCGCACAACATGGTGGTCTTGTCACCTTGTGGTAACACTTGGTCTACCAGTTCGGGGCGATCATCCGTGGTGTTGGTGGCCCAAAAGCGTTGCTGAAGCCTGTAGATGGTCCGAACATTGACCTGGAAGTGATTGACAACGGCTTGGGCAGTGTGGCCAGCGTCGAGTCTTCTAAGCGCCTGGTTCCTCTGAGCTGTCATGAGTAGTGGCATGCTGCTGACGTTGCAGTGTGAATGATTCAACCAGGTATGGGGGTGCATTTTATAGGGCTGGTCCCGGTGAACAGCACATGCAGCATGAGTTACATGAAAATCATGGAGAACATATTACCATCTCAGAAGTCAGGTTGCGTTTTTGAGAACAATTCCTGGGTTCAGTTCGGTGTTTGGGAAGGAGCCTTATTGCTCAGGTAAAGTTGGAGATGTGGTCACAAATATACAATAAAAACATTTGGTAAATTTTATGCAATGCGTCTATTCAGAGTAACATACCATCCTGACGTTTCTTTTGCTACTTAGTATATTCTACTATATTGGACCGAATGGGATACTGTCGTTAAATAAATCCTCAGTCAAATAAGTGCATATATAGTATATAGGTTATTTCTACTTACACTATATCAAAGGAGGTGTTATTCTGAATAGTATGGGTAAGAAGAGTAATATTAAAGCCTCAATGCATCAGCATTTTGCTTATGTAAATTTATCACAAATAAGAGCGGAAAGGTGTTTTTAGATAGTCATCCCAATGATTTAATCAAAAACTGTTGTTGGTATGCCATCTTGACTTCGGTGTTTATGGATGGAAAAACAATGTCATTAGGATTGATTGTCTTTTATTGCACATGAACTGAAAGATTATATTTGTAGATTTGTCTGGAATACCCGAAGTTTAATTTGTTTGTAGGTATGCACTTATTTAGAGGATGTGTATCTATGCGGTCAAAAATAGTACATTAAGAAAACTATAAAGAAAAGAAAACGTTGAAGAATTGAAATAAATACTATAAAAGCTCAACTTTAAACAAAAAGTCATGCAGAACTGACTTTAACTAATAATAATAAATCATAACTATAAAATCATTGAAATTTGTAAGGCACACATAAGAGAACCAATGTCTTTGATGCCATCTTTTATAGACCTAGAAGCCCTAGTACTCACCACCAGAACTTTTCCCGCTTACAGTAGCAGTTCCTAATAAACAGATGGACAACAGATAAAGCACATAAAAATAAAAATTGAAAAAAAAAGAAGTAAATATCCAACTCTGTCACAAAATTTGATAAACCATTATCAAAGGATTAATTGTTGATTGCTGTCGAATGACCTACCAAAATACATGTAACTTAAAATATTTCAATTTCCTTTCATTTTTTTTTTTCTTAAATTTGATATCCATTTATTTCACTTTAGAATTTAGAGATTTCACTTTAGAATTTAGAGATTTCACTTTAGAATTTAGAGTGTTCACAAATATTTTTACTAAGTTTCATTAATCTTAAACACAAAACTTCACTCTTGAAAGTCTATATGGAGGTGACCTGAACAAAATATTTTGTAAACAGAGTGAAAAACATTGCATTGAATTTTTCTTTTTAAAAAAAGCTTCTAATGCACTACAATAACCATTCGTGAAAAAATAGATGCCAAACCAAATCACCCACAAAAAAATAAACAAGTCTACAGATCTAAAAAATTATAAGAATACATTAAAATAAAAAAGAGATCAAGCAAATAAATCAGATGCCAGCCTATTTAACAAATATTAAAAAATATATATATATATGGAAGATCTATGGTATTTTATCACTATAAAGCTGTGAAAATAGTGAACTTAAATATTAACCTCTTGTGCCCCGTGGTTCTGACAAAAAACAAATTGTGCATTGATTATAATTATAAAAGCTATTATTGTAATTAATTAAATATGTTGTTTAATTAACATTGTTACATGGTGGTGTATACATATATCAAACATTTGAATAAATATAAAGCATGCTGCATTAAGTTACTTCAAGCGAAGCCACTGTGCACATTTTCAAATGGTGGATGAAATTAATAAAGTCTGGGTTCGTCTTTTCTTAAAACTACCTTTCCTAAATGTGCGATAACGAATTCAGAACATTGCAAGGTTACTAAAATTGTTTAATTCTCCTAATTTGTTTTACCTGTGGATTGAAGTCCTAATTTTTAAAAATCAAACACTATTTGATTAACATAGTAAAAATTATGTGTGATAATGGAATGTAATACTCATTGAAAAAAATAGTCTTTTCACATAAGATTAATCTTTCAGAATTGTATAAATTTGGGTTGTTTTTCTTTTATTTTCATTAAAATTAGTAAATCTTGTAAATATTATATATATAAAATCAATCCATTCATGTAAATTAGTAATTAGAGAATAATTTGGTATCTTATTTTAAATTATTACCTTTTTTTGTTCCTGCTTTATCATCTTTTCCCTTTGTTCCTTTTTTATCATCTTCTTTTGCATCTTTTCCTTTGGCATCCTGTATAAAATGGAATATATTTATATCTATTTTTGTAGGCTTACATATTGACTATTGCCATCACTTCCGTCAATCATCTGTCCACAATTTTTGGATCATAAATTTTGAATGTTTTTTGCAGTGTTTTTTTCTGTTCACATTCTACTAACTGTTAAAGATTTAAAACTGTTTTTAATAGAATTTTAACCAGAGGCTGCCAGACAATATACACCCACATTTTGCAATAGATGGATAGAGAAGAAGCTAAACAAAATGAGATTTTTCGTACAATCAAGGGTCATAATTCGATAGTTATGATCCGATATGCGCGAATATCGACAGGAACCAAGATCTTTGGGTTATAAAGATATATTTCAAGTTTCATCACAATCGGATTAAAATTGTGCCTTCTAGAGGGTCCACAACCTTGATATACTATATATTTACACTATTTGTGTACGAGCGGTGGCCATTTTGTCTAGCAGTTTTGGTCCAGTTTTCATGAAGTTCGAAGTCAAGTGTCATTACAGTGTAATAGTGATATATTCGAACGTTTTCTTTAAATCGTATAATAATTGTGACCTCTAGAGGAATGTCCGGGCGGACAGGGGAGACAACAATATACATCCACATGAAAATGTGGGCGTATAAAAATTTGGTACGTTTATTCAGTTTGACCTACAGAGAATCCAATAAAAAAATTTAATATTTTGTTAGCAAATCATGGAATTTTCCATAACTTCCTCTAAGTGAAAATGTAATGAATAAGCTTACCTTTTTTTTAGCAGATGGCTTGTCTCTTTTTGATTTATCCTTTTCTGTTTGAGTGTTTGATCGTACGCTACCAGGTCTATCATTAGAATGAGCTCTTCTGCTAAGTGGGGGCTAGAATAAAGAAATATATACCAAACCAAATTCTTTTTAAACTACGTGGTGGGCACACACCTAACAAAAACTTGATCAGTCCCAAGATGAATTTGTCTTCCCAGGCAACAAAAGATCCACTTGTGGAAAAATGTAAAGATTTATCTAGATTAAAGATTGTTCACAAGCTAATATTTAACTTTTAAATATTTGAAAATATGATGAACTTACCGATTTATTTCTATCAGGAGAACCTTTCTCTGATATTTGACGACGTCTTTCTACAACTTCTTCATGTTTTAATGAAAACCTAGATAATGCCTACAAATAAAGGAAATGGATGACCAATAATGCTTTTCAGAAAACACATATTCAGGTACATAAACAAAGTTTTTGCTGTATCGTAAAAATTTGAAATGTGCCTGGTGCCTTAATAACAAGCTATAAAATTTATTGGTCCAGTAAATCATATTACGAATTATAGGAGGTTGCAATACATTAATATAACCATTTTGGATTTTGCTTTTTAAGCATCTAGTAGAAATTAAGCTGTCAGTAATAATCATTAATAGTTAAAAGATATAATATTTTCTCCAAATGTCACTTTTTTTTAAAATACAATTTTTGAATAAAGATAAGGGAAAAGTCAGTTCCTTATTATTTATATCCGTACCTCTGCTAGTTTAACAACTCCTTTATCTCCTATTTTATTACTTGACATAGACAGACATAACAGATTCCTGTTCATTCTCAAACCCTGAAATAAATTAACATTGAAATTTTAACTCTGACATACAAAACATTAAATAAAACAGCACCAAGATATCTTCAGAATCTCTTGACGCACTACCAATCAAAAAGGTCTCTGAGATCCGAGAGTAAATTATTTTTAGATGTACCGGTTTATAAGATGAAGAAATTTGGTTCAAGGAATTTTCAATATAATGTATCAATTCTATGGAATTCGCTACCACCTTCCATTCAAAAATGTGAAACATTATCTATCTTCAAATCAAGTGTGAAAACCTGGTGGTTTAATCACTATAATTAACCCATGCAAACACTTTCATGAGCCTAGAGCATCCTCAAGTGGGATGAATTGTGCAAAATAAATTTCGTTATTATTATTATTATTATTCAAAGTGGAACTAATAATGCTGTAATGATATATCCCTGTACTTGAATCAACATACATGTAGTTTTAAAAACATATATCTTATTCCTTCAATATCCAAAAACAAATAACCAGCTCAAAATAAAAACAATTCTGAGGCCATCTCATTCAATAAAACTAGGGTACATACAGGGTCTGAAAAACTGCACCCATGTGCTATAAAAACTGAATTTGAATCCTACCCTAGAGATATGACCAGCTCCGACATCTGTAATCTGGTTACCATTTAAATTTAACGATAATAATTTTGTGTTTGATTTTTTAGCCGAACCTAAAGCCGTTCCTATACTATCAGCTCCTTTATCAGTAATGCTACAATATCTCAATGATACATTCTGTACTCTGAAAAATATCAAACATATTGATATTATATCAAACTGATGGAATATAAATAGACAGTTCATAACGATATTCCATCTCACCTGCAAAAAAAGACACGGAACAGTTGCCTTCACTTACATTTACCAGAACATTTTTAACTGCACTGTCAAGGTGCAATAAATCTTAGAATCGCTCATCTGCTGTTCATCATTTGTGGCAGTTAACGTTCGCATGAATTCTCTTTACCATTTCAACAAAGCTCTTGCTATAACAGAATTTCATATCATCACATAGTGGCAAATTAGAGTTATATAATTCTGCAATTTACCAGAAAGATTTTACTCCAAACTTTTCTTTTTACATGGAGCAAAAAGATTGGTTGCCAGGCAACGAAATATCTGCCCTCAGCAGCTAAATCGTCCGAGCGGTCGACATGGGTTGACATATATTTAATTTTAGAGAGAACAGATTATAATTTTTGTCGTTTGAGGGTTCACAAGGTTCTACAAACTGAAACAAGGGCCTTAACTCTGGAAGTAATTTACAGAAAATTTTGAAATTTGACAGGCTTTTTTGTTTTACTAATTTAAAAAATGCCTATAAATTTCATACAGATCGAATGATAACTTTTGTCATTCGAACGTTCACAAGGTTCACAAAGTAAAACAAGGGCCTAACTCTAGAAATAATTGACTGAAATTGCTAAAATTCAATAGACCTTCGTTTCACAAATTTAATTGATGCATATAAATTTCATACATATCGGATGATAAATTTCATATATCGAGCATTAACACGGCTGAACAGTGAAACAAGGGCCATAACTCTAAAAGTAATTATTGTAAATTGCTGAAATTCAATAGGCTTTGTGGTGCCACTAATCTAAATGATGCATATAAATTTCATACAGATCAGATGATAACTCCAACAAAGTGAAACAAGGGCCATAACTCAAGACATAATAAACAAAAATTGCTGAAATTCAATAGGATTCTTCTTTTTACTAATTTAAATTTCATACAGATCAGCAGATAACTTTTGATGTTAGAGTGTTCACAAGGTGCAACAAAGTGAAACAAGGGCGATAACTCTAGAAGTAATAAACGGAAATTATTGAAATCAAATAGGCTTCTTCAACATGTATCAATTTTATGCTAACTTTTGGCGCTAGAGCATTCACAAGAAATTGTGGACGACAGACGGGGGCATCGGCAAGGTACATCCACATTTCCATGTGGGCTTATAAAAATGATTTGCCATACTGTTTCATGAACTACTTCTCAATTCGAAGACAATCCTCAACTGTTACATGTTACACGGGGGCGACATGTGGGCTTATAAAAATGATTTGCCATACTGTTTCATGAGCTACTTCTTAATACGAAGACAATCCTCAACTGTTACATGTTAAACAGAATAAAACGCTCAAAGGATTACTACCCGACCCGTATGGGTATAAGATTTCATATAATAAGCTTTTACACCAAAACTATAACTTGGCTAAAAATTTTGAGTCATCAACTGCTTTAGAATTCTTTGAAATTAATAACAACTTACAAACATTCTTCTCCAATTAATTCCCCGAAATTCTCTTCTTTAACTGTATTACCATCTAATATCAGATTCCTGAAATCCAAGGAAATATTTTTCAAAAAAAAAAATAATTCCATAACTATCTAATAGTTATTATTTAATATTTGAATAGAAGTTAATAATATTAGATTTCTGAAAACCAAGGAAGTGTATTTAACAAAATTTAAAAAAAACATAATGATGTTATAATAATATATGATATTTAATATTTTCATTAATTTTCACTATGATTTTTTTCTGGAAGCTATTTTTTTTTTTAGATGCAATGCAATGTAAAACATAATCCTTTGTCAACACTTAAAAAAAATGTTTTGACTTACTTTAGTGTAGCACATACAGGTAAAAAGGAAGCTAGGATACTAACAGTTGATCCAGTTAATCCAGCATGCCACAAACTAAAAAAAAAACCCAAAAAAATGTTATTAAAACATTGTCTTATCGTGTGACTGTATGTATTTTGTAGAGAGAGGCAGAGAGAAATGGGGTTTTTAAAATGTCCACTCGACACAAACCAGGTCATTTCGGGACTAACATACAGTTTAATTTTATTTCAATAATTTGCTTGCGCTTAGGGGTCTTTAGCAGTGGGAGGAAACCGGAGGACCCGGAGAAAACCCATGAGGCTGGACAGACGACCCTACTCCTTGTTGCGTACAACTGGGGCATCAAAACCATGCCCATTGACTCATTGACGTGCTAACCATTCGGCCATCCAACCCCCAATGTTATAGAGAAATAAACAATGGACAGTATTCAAGAATATTGCAAGCACAGCAGCTTAAACTATTGTTAGAATTCCAAAATTATTATATTCAAGAATTAGTGTGATTAAATATTCTGGGTTGCATAGACTTTAAAATAAAAATATATTTTACTTTAACCTTCACCCAACTGAATTGAACAACCATCCAGACCAGTGCTAAAAACAACCTGTATCATAAGTTATCATTCGGCAATCTTCAATCCACTCATTAAAGTAGTTCAGGCAAATTTAATGATTATCTCAATGAAAACTGCTGACAAATTCTGTTTCAATATTTGTTTTCCGCAATAACAGGGACTGACCACATAATGTTTTTCGTCTATGATGCTCTTAGATTTCTAGCCATCGTCCTATGATTTCTCATGTCAGAAACCAAGATACGTTCTGGTCTTTCTATTTCTTTTTAATGTCAAAATTTACAATCTGAAAAAAGGGTTCTTAAAGAACAAGGTTGCCAAGTCTTAAAACATTCCATTAGGAACTTTGTCCTGTATTGTGTTCACAAGCTTTATAAAGTTTGAAAACAATCCGGCTAGCTTAACTGTAGTGTGTAAAGCTTTCACAAGACAAAATGGACAGACCCACAGACACAGCTTTCAGGATGTACTTGAATAATAACCTAATCGCATCCAGGGAACGTATTCTTAAAGTAGTATCTGAAATAGTTTTAATCGAAAACATTCAAACAACTTACTTGATAGTATGTAATTTATCCATGGATGGCCAGCACTGTCTGAATATATGCATCATTGTATCATCAATCTTCCATCCTTAAAAAATATAAGGCAAGTTGCCAGGCAACAAGACATAAGCAGGTGAGTCCAAGTTGTTTATAAAGATCGTTACTAAACAGATGTTTTAAAAGAATCTAAATTTTGGGGAAGTAACTTTGCTAAAAAAAAGTTTACAAGTATGGGACTCAGGATTTTGTAATTGTTCATCATTATTATCCCGCACCGAACGAAGTTAGGAAGGGATGTTAAAATGGGGTCCGTCTATCTGTGCGTCCTTCCGTCCCAATTTCGTTTTCGGAGCATATCTCATAAACCATTTAAGATATCTTTCTGAAACTTTGTACACAAATCAACCTATTACAGTAGTTGTGCCTTTTGCTATTTAGGAATTTCTTGGATTTAATCATTTTTGTGTTTCCATGGAAACAAATTTGACTTAGTTTTTTGGGGTACAATTGTTTCCGGAGCATATCTCATAAACCATTCAGGATATCTTCTTGAAACTTTGTACAAACATTAATCAATTATAGTAGTTGTGCCTTTTGCTTATTTAGAATTTCTGGGATCTTATAACTTTTGTGTTTAAAAACAAATTTAACTTAGTTTTTGGTGTTCAGTTTTGTTTCCGGCGCATATCTCATAAACCATTCAAGATACTTTCATGAAACTTTGTAAAAACATCAACCTATTAAAGTAGTTCTGCCTTTTGCTACAATTTTGTTTCCGGAGTATTTCTCATAAACCGTTCAAAATTTCTTATTGAAACTTTGCACACACATTATCCTATTTCAGTAGTTGTGCCTTTTGCTAATTAGAAATTTCGTCGGATTTAAAAAAAAATTTTTGTTTCCACGGAAACAAAATTCTCTGTTGAATGATTTTTTATTTTTTATTACACATTTGAATTAGTTTTTGGTACATAATTGTTATTCAAGAGCATATCTCAGAAACTGTTCAAGATACCTTTATAACACTTTTAAATTCATCAACCTATTATTTTATTTTCTGATGACTGTCTTCCGATTTCAACTCCGGAAGATATTTCATTATCCGTTCAAGAAATCTTTTTGAAAATTTGTACAAACATCCAACTATTATTATAGTACCGGTATTTAATTTTCTGATGTATAAGCTTAATATTTAACATACAGCAGCTGATTGAGGTAGGCAAACCTTACAGGGAGTACCGACCGTGCCTTGCCAAGTTACTATGATCAGAGTATGATTCTTCTGACTAGGATATTCAAAGAAGTCCAAGGGTGCGGGGTGGTGATGACTATAGTCATCTTGTTAGTATTACAACTTGCACAAATCACATCAAGTTAGAAATAAATATCTCAAAAACTGAACATACCTCTTATATAAACTTCACAAACAGTATCAGTTTTATCAGGATTATCCATCTCCACATCAATAGTTGGTTTAAAATAGTCAAATTTCTCCTTTGTAACGTACGTCTTAGGTGGTGTTTCTATAGGTTCTGAAATAGTTAATTTCATACATCAACATCTATGCTATGTACAAATGGTCCACTTCTCACATCAAATTACACAATAATACCCATTGGTATCGAATTAAATTCCCAACCATTGGATTTTCAGTATCTGCTTGCAAATTCATTACCAATGTTCCCTTCCACTTTGTTGAGGGATTCAGCAAAGAGGAAGTTAGTACTTGCGTTAGTAAAGCTTCAAATTTGTCTCGAACATCCAGTAACTAGTATACACAATCACACTGTAATCTGAAAGACTGGAAATTCATACAGTTGTAGGTATTGCTACCTAAACTGTTCTGTTCAGCTATGATGCAAGAGGTTGAGTATGTTAAACCAATGGATATGAGATTGACAATAACACAGCAAAAAAGATTTTTGACATACATGTACCAGTATATTCTGTACATAAGGATATTATAATGGAAGCTTTACTACCCTGATCAGATATTTACCAATTAATTTGATTTGCTGGTATTCAGATATTTCAACAATTAAATTTCAATATACTATATTTACAAATAAAACAAGAACGTTTTACACCACTGAGCTAAATCTGACATGCTTTCTCAATAAAAAAAATAAGATAATTTGGGCAAAAACACTAAATTGTTATCAAGTGAACAGGATTTCTATGTAAATAAATGGCCAGTGCAAATGTAAACTGACAGATGAACATGCTGATGACAGATGATGCAACGCTGATGACATACATAAATACTGTCACTCACCCTTAGAATACCTGCTAACACATCTATCAGACCCTAGGTTTGTATTAAATATAGCGGTAAGACAAGTAAAGGAAGAGAGAGGTATATATACTCTTCCAAAAAAGTAGGGGATTTTCAGAAACAATACAAAACTGCGGAAATGCACTGCTGTTTTTATTAGAGGTAACCTGTGTATGTTACATTCAGCCAACCAAATATTGGCTTTCATGGCGATAGTTAGCTCTTTACTTTCTGTCGAAGTGAAAGATTGAAATGACTGTGCCGTCAACTATAGACATGCCGTCAACCTCCAGTCGTCAATGTCATTAGACTAAAACTAAATACAGTATCAATGAAATAAGGACGCTTAAAATAGGGTTGTTCACGTAACGATATTACTTGCTTCTAAGTTCTATTGATTATTTTGAGGGGCTCTACATCACGCAGATGTAGAGAGCAAAAACACAACATTTTTGAATGTCTGACGGGCATAATCATCTTGAAAGATGAAACGTTGACCTGCACGTTGAGCAAAGGGCAGAACTATCGGTGCCAGGATGTGGTCACCGTAGTACACACCAGTGACCCTTCCTTGAACAATATGCAAGTCCGTTATGCCAGTCATGGTGATTCCTCCCCACATCATAACAGACTTGCGCCCAATCTGTCATGCTGTCTGACGTTAACTTTAGCATGAACCTCATTTACAAGCCTCCAAACGCGAGCATGCCTAGCGGTGAAATCCAGAGTAAATCTGGACTCATCTGAGAACATTACACGCGCCAATCGACGATTACCCCAATTTCATCGCTACTTACACCATTGAGGCGTGTTTGCCATGTGCTGGCAAGTTAATGGAGGCACAACACATGGTCGTCGCGCATGCAAATGGGCCACATGTAGCCGATTTCTAATCGTTTGGGGTTTAACTTGAATTCCTGTAATTTGGTACAAGTTTACAGAAAGCTGATTGGCCGTTTGTCGATTCCGCAGGACCTGTGTACGAAAGTATTTATCCTGGGCTTGTGTAGTGGCTCTAGGACAACCTGAACGAGGTCTATCATCAGCATTGTGTGTTTGTTGGTACCGGTTCCACAGTCTGCTGATCACAGACTGTGACACATAAAAGCATGTTGGCTACTGCTCGCTGTGTAGAACCCATTTGAAGCATGCCAATAGCACGTAGATGTTCATCACGTTGAATACGTCTCATTGCAAATTAAACGTAACACACTAAATTGACTAAAGCAAAGATACGCTAAACAGTAAATCTTGTGCAAGAACCGATAGGAAAGCAAACATGGATAGGATAAACCAGCACGCGGCAGTTTTCATCAACCCTTCCTTGAAGTGTCAAATTTGATAATGAACCCCTCCCACATGTATGGCGCTATTGCGTGTCGCATGTGCAGCTCAGTGGTATTGTTGGGACGATAAGTTCTTCATCTGTGAACATACGCTCAAAGCATGTCAAGTGCCCATGGCTATTTATCATATCACAACCTGCATAGGTATTTGCATTTCAATATCCCCTACTTTTTTAAAGAGTATATAAACGGTTAAGTTTAAATCACAGGTCGATATTTGCATTTTTCAGACAATGATCCACACTAAAATTGGTCAAATTGATTATTTTACCATTTAATTAAGAAATCAATATCAGAAGAAGATAACCTCCCAGCTTTGATTGAATAAAATTAAAAAAAGACAAATGATTTTAGTGATGACAGTGCTGGCTTGCACACCACAGACTATTTTTAGACTGATATCCATTTGGAGATTCAAATTGCAATTAGCAATAGATTTAAAATCCTTCAAATGTTGATCAGAGACTTTAACAGAGTTAAGAACAGCAAAAATTATGAAGAAAACAGTACTAAATCAATAGGTATTTAAAATTATATAAATAATGATTTAGTATTAAAAATTATATAAATAATGATTAAGTTAATCAGTGAAATATAATTTCAAGATTTAATAACTTTTTCTATTGGTGATAACAATAACAATTTGCAGAACGTAAAATTTGGTTATTTAGGTTATTAAAATAACTAGAGGAAGATTAACTATGGTACCGGAATGGAAACAATTTAAGTCTATCAAGAAAAATTTTTATTTGAGTATTTACCTCCATCTTCTGTTAATTCAGGTTCTGGTTCAGGCTCAGGTTGTGGTGGGGCTTTACCTTTGTCTTTACCTTTTTCTGGTTTACCTTCAGGTACCTGACTGGGTAGTGGTTGGGGTTTACCTCTTAGTACAATGGGTGTAACAAAAGTTACATTATTTCTGCGACACAGCTCTATAAAATCAGCTTGAAAATGACCACTGCACATGTGAGGCTCTGAAAAATTGTACAAAAATTGTTATTGTTATTGTGTTTTGATGAGAACCCAAAAACTAACCTTAATCTGTAAAAGGAAATTTACAATGGATTTTAGTTTATACTTTTGAGATCACCATCAAACTCGTTCTGGATGCACAGTGTGCATTGAACCATCAATTGGCATCTGATTGAATGATAAAGGTGAACTACAGTACTGGTACATGACACAGGCTGTCTTAACTCAGCCACTTGTCAAACATATTCCTGTTGCTGCACTTGTAGCAAATAGTTGGGTTTTTGGCTGCGGGGCTATTTTCATCGTCTAAGGAAATCTCTCCTGAGTATAATGGTGGAAAGTCGCAGTTCTATTCAGTTTGTTGAAACAAAATATGTTGTTGTTACATGACAGTCCGTCATTTATATCTAGGAGTCTTCCCTAAAACTTCAGACAGTATTAAAACACGATGAAAATATTGTTTGTCTCTTGCATGCTCCAACAGATGATAAAAGGATCTATGTGTGTCAATTACCCATGTTTATGTTTCCAGCTACTTTAAACAATTAATTTTTCTGCAATATTCCACTATTATCTGGTTAATCGCTCATAATGAATTTTGTGTGTTGTGATATAATGTAGTAGCTATTGTCATCATATATACACTTTTACGTCAGCACATTTAGAGCTCTGGTTAATCCTGATTGATATGTTACGCTGTAATGGATTAGTTGTTAACCAGTCATAGTCATAATTTGGAACAGGAGTGTTTGAGTGGGAGTAGTTCTAACCAAATAGTGAGGAGTATGCTAGTGCTAGTCAACATGAAACAGATTTACACAAATAATTCTGCATCTTTATCTTATGGATTTTCTATTAGATAGGCTACACTACTGAATACTGTACCTGGGGTTTTTGAAGAATTTTCATCTTGTTGTTCCTGACTGACAGATGACTGATTTTTGTCTTTAACCATGGCTTTATCAGACTTCTTTCCCATCCTCAGTCGCGATGCAAGACTATAAATAAAATGCATTTAAAATTAATACAATGTACTGTCCCTCTTTCTTTAAAAAATTTATAGTCTGCTCTAAAGCTTTAGTAAAGTTTTAAAAATTAAACTGTCCAGATTAATTTCAAAAACTTGATCAATTAGCAATGTTATGTATCTTACATTTATTTCTTATTATAAGCTAGAAAGATAAAAATGGAATTTTTCGACGTGCTACAGTCTAAAAATATAAATAAATTAATAAATAGTAACATTTAATGAAAATGTGAATTAGATCTAAGTACTGTCTCCACTCCATGGCTTAAATTTCACTCTTACTCTGCAAATCAGTCAATATGTAGCCTAGGTCTATCTATTAAAAATTTCCATTTCATCTACCATTTGCAAAACTGGCTAGGCCTAGATCTAATTTTTGAGGTAAAATTAAAGTAGCTAAGTCTTTAACTGAATATCATCCAAAGTCTTTGACATTGAAAACACAACTTATTTGTGAATTTAAATCAATGTTGATGTCCTGATCTTACCGGGAAAATATGGGCGTCTGATATCCAATATTAACGACAAAATAAGCATATTTTTACCATTGGTACACGAATCGTGTGCCATTTAATGTGTTTCAGCGCCATTTGTAACAAGGGACTCGAAGAACAAGGCTAGACATTTTCCACAAGTCATGTCAAACGGTGACGCCATATAAATACTATCGGTGTAAACAGGCGCTAGAGATTGCCATTCGATTGAGACTTTTGGCGTATTTTGCCGAACATAACTGCTTAGAAATTACAGTAAACACCGAAACGATTGAATGTAAATCATTTTATATACACTCAAATTACATTATTATATGCGTTGCGACCCATTTATGTCAATTTCTAGGTCCAGAATATTAGCAATTTAGCTCCTTTGGGCTTTAATAAATTAATTATTAAGTACAAATTTCTGAATAAGTTAATAATAAAAATAATCTAAAATCAAGCTTCGTCGACAAATAAAATCATAATAATATATCATCAAATTCCACAAATAATGCAACTGATAAAAATAGAACAATAAGCAGGAGAGAATAACAAAACGCAAAGCATTCCACAAACAAACCGTTAAAATTTTGACAAATTTTCGGCGACCGCCATATGTAAACAAACTGGCCGCACAACGTCACAGCCGGAAAACAAAACCCAAGAAAAAAGACAAAAGAGTCCTAGTAAATTAACATATTTCTCTTTTATCTTGGCTTTAAAAACTTTGTCTTTACAAAATTCGAATTAGTGATATCAAAGTTACACGCCATGTATTACGAAACCTGTAAATAATATAAATTTTAATTTGTACATAAATTAATACGCCAAAGTAAAAAAATTCTTGACAACCCTCAAAAATTGAAACAAAAAAGGAGTTGTCTCCCTTACACTGTTAAATTGGACATGTTGGACCTATATTGCTAAATATTAGATAATAAATAGTCCTGTGGCTGAAGGGGGGGGGGGGGGATCGCCACCCGAGCTGTGAATTTATGAGACCAAGTTTTTCTACACCAGTTTTTTGCGTAGATTCCGAATCTGGGTGGTGATCAGACGTTTTCGAGATATGGGGGTCCAATGTCTACATTGGGGGGAAATTGTATATTAATAAAACATAAATTTCTAGGACTGCCCATCTCTAAATAAGTGTTTATGATGCCCCTGGACAACTGTTTTAATTTGTGGCGAGGTGGGGTGGGTGGTTGCTGGTATGCATGTGTGTGTTGGTGGTGGGGGTGGGGGTGATTGGCGGGAAATGAGTTCACGTAGATTTAAATGATGATTTTCTTAGAGTTTGATGAAACATCTCTAAATATGTTTATAAAGATTCCCATTGTGTTAGATGGGTGTCCTCGTGGTTTGTTATGTCTAGGATATTCCCGACACTTTCAATACTAATCTTGATATATCTTTTGATCCAATCAAGATTAGTATTGAAAGTGTCGAGAATATCTTGGCCTACATGCTTTCAGTGGTAATGACTATCTGTCTTTCTTTTTCCAACTTTCTAACAATTTTTAAAGACCTGGGACAGAGAAATGATGTTTCTGATGACGTAATTGCTCGTTTAGAAAAAATTGTTTGTACCATGTACGGCGAAAGGCAACTTACATCAGCAGATGGCCAGTAGCGGATTATCAGTGAGGCTGATGAGGCTGCAGCCTCAGGCCCAAAGATTTTGTAAAAAAAAATTTTTTAGACTTGTTTGATACGATTAAAAACGCATAGACAATGAATGTTAGGGGGTGGGGTTTAGGCCCAACGGGAATCAACCCTCACCCGAAATTAATTAGGCCCAGGCCATTTTAAATAGGCCCTATTGTTTGGAGATCTGATCTTATTTTTTAAACGTAGGCCTATAATGTACGTTAAATCCTTGTAAGTTTTCGGTTATGTCTTGCTTAATATATTGTATCCACGTGACGTCATTTATGGGCATATAATGTTACATTACCAATATCAAACGACTTTGGCTTAAGAAAAAATATCTAGCAAAAGATCTTGCGCTAGTTTCGATGTAAACACCCCATCATGAGGAAATATTATCCTTGAAAATAGGTGTATGTACAGTTGGTTTCCGGTGACGTTTCTGCTGCCAAAGCATTTTGTACGACAAATTTCAATAGTTATAACTAATATTTTAATAATATTATAACCTCAGTAACGAATCCCGTTTTTAATGTTAGCAACTACCTTGGCTCTAACTTTAAAAACTAAATAGGCCCTCCAGCATCTGCCGCCTCAGGCCTTGGTGGAGCTTAATCCGCCACTGCAGATGGCATTAGAAGAAAGATTTTCTGGGGGAATTTTAATTGTGATTCAAAATAACAAACCCTTCTTTCTTTATCTGAGTAATCTTTTGCTGCACATTAAACGCAAAAAAATATGTTGCAACAATATGGAGACAGACTGCAAAACCAATGATCGAACAAGATGACCCTACGATACAAGGCTGGAATAAAGATTTACAATGTGAATGGGTATCTGAAGCATATCCAAAGGATATACATGTATGCGAGCTGTTGATTAGCAACCAAGAAGATATTTATCCCGCTCATATTATGAACTTTGATTTTGAATCTTTTGATGAAGACTAGAATAAACTAATATCTAAACATGTCTCTGATTTACTGTGGGTTTTTTATGTACATTTCCAGATCTCTTGAAAAGTACCATTATAATTTAATTTTTGGAATGACGAAATTAGTACTGAACGAAAAAGCAATCTGATTAAAATACAGATCTATATTTCGTTTCATTTTTTTATACTTTCGATAGCCTACACTACATGAAGATCTGACCAGTTGTACTGGGAGGTCGCGTCAGTGGTCATACGAGCAGCTTTTGACCCAATGTCGTCATACATTGATTAATCAATCAGTGATGACGTTTCTAGGGATTTACCCAGTTCCGTGCAGAGCACGCCAAGAATTCGCCGTAACAGACCATTTCATTGGCTTATTCCTCACATCAACTAGACCGCCTGATGAGAAAACACTTTTCAGGTCTATTTTAAACCAGGTGGTTTCTAGACCCAAAATTACATTTTGCCCGCCGCCCCATATAATGAGAATCTTAAACACATATTTAGAGATGTGCAGCGGAATTAAAGAGTAATGTTTTTGCCAAGCTCTAAGAAAATCATTTAAACATACATTATGCAAGAGCTAAATCTGCCTATTGCAGGTCTTTCTTTAGGCCTGAAATGTTATATAAACTATATTATTAGACATTTTTTATTAACAAAACAAGACCATAATCGACTCTCGATGGCATCGGATACTCAAGATTTTAACTAGATTAAAACGGTTCGCCATTTAAAAATTTAATTTAAAAATGGGAAAGCGAGGCTAAGTCACGATTATACCAGTGCCCTGGTTACCACTGTGCACACATCTTGTCAAAACTACAAACAATGATAACTTGGCTGAGAATGAAGTAATTTGAATGGAATTATATCATCTATTTTTGAATTATTATAGCAAGAACGTCCAGCTCTGTATTAAACTCTTAACTAATGTATTAAATCAACGTGAACTCATTTCCCGCCAATTTAGCCCCCCCCCCCCCACACACACACACTTCCATACACGCACACCTGCTACCCTCACCCTACCTCCCCACAAATCAAAACAGTTGTCCAGGGGCATCATATACACTTCTTTAGAGATGGACAGTCGTAGAAATTTATGTTATCAATACATAACATGAACATCATTTATGTCAACATAATCACATTTTCCCAAAATTGTAGACATTGGACCCCCCATATCTCGAAAACGCCCCCTCAAACGCCCGATCGGAATCTACGCAAAAACTGGTCTAGCGACACTTGGTCTCATAAATTCACAGCTCAGGTGGTTCCCCCCCCCCCCCCCCTTCAGCCACCGGACTAAAAGTCGGTTTTATTATTTCTATGTTCTCACCAGATTTTGCAAGCAGAACATACCTAGATGGCAAAATAAAACATATATTTATAATAAAAGATGCTTGGACGTGCACGTAGGTTGGCTACAACATTGGTTCTGTGCACGAATGGCTTTTCTAAATCAAATTTTAATGAATAAGTTTAGCAATTCAAAATAAAAATATAATAAAGCCATAGGCCTAAGTCAAGTGTAGAGCACAAAAATAAAGCGTTCGTTCGCGGCACTGAGAGTGATATCGCAGATAAAATAATGCGTTATGTTTCGATCGCGGCAAACCAATCTAGAGGCAAGGCCATGGTCAATATATACACCTAGCTCTGCTTAGGCCCTATATATATATATTACCAGCATTAACTGTGATATCGGCGTATATTTGGAGTAAATCATTTTTGTAAGACCCAAGAGGCAATTATTTCAATATATGATAATTTTAAGAGACTTCTTACATAACTACTATTTTAATTGTTCTATTTCGTAATATCCAATCAACCAAATCTGCAAAAATTCTGCTTTATCAAAAGACTGCTGAGCTAGATTTTATAATTCATTTTTGTATTAGCCCAAACCAAAGTAAAAGCAAAAATGTAAGTACAAATTGTAGAAAAGATTAATTGAAGCACCTGAAGCTTAAGCTTAGCCCTGACCAAACATACAACATATTAAATTAGCATTTATAAAAGCACTGGAAGGAAATCTAGATGCTTTTCTTCCGGACTAAAAAAAATGCCCGTGAAATGTTTCTTACCTTAATGAAGTCCATCTCGATCTGCAAGTCATACATGGGTATTTTATACTACTTTGATTTGTATTGTGATGAATATAATTATCTTAATTTGAGAATATTACCTTTTCGCAAAAAATTATTTTTCACCCTACCTTACTTTTGACCATTGTCGATGTTTCGAAGCCATGTTGAAAGTAAGTAATACGGCCTTCAACCCAAACGAGTTCCGGTTTTTCACTTTTATGGCACCATTTTTGACTTTTGAAACCTCTCAATCGACTGAGGTTTCACATGTAAGACACAGAGGGTAAATCAGACTTGTAAATATTAATATGAACCCTTTGACCTCTTAGATGAGCAAAACAATTTTATCGTAATGTATTATTTTGACCATTCAAAATAGACCTGCTTTTATTGAATATATTAAAGAATATCATTGGTTATAGGTTATGGTTCAACGGGAGGTAAAGTACAACAAACTGATTCTCCAAGAAAACAATGCCTGCATAGAAACCAGTCTTTCTATAGGACGTCATATACCTGTCTTTTTTCAATATCAAGTAGTTATTATCGATCATTTCATTTCCGTTTTTATTTATCGAACCAGATAAATGGCACATAGGCTTATATATATTGCATTTTATAATTAATTCTAAATAATATAGTTTTATATCACCTATCAAGCATTTATATTTGAATGATCATATATAGGTATATATTGTATCTACAACAATTGATCAGTTAATTATCTATATGTCTGTGCTTCGTTCGTTTATTACTTTCTTTATTTGATTACTTTTAAATCCACGTTAAATCGTGTCCAATTCCTTGTTTTTTTTAATTTCTAGGACGGGGTAATGACGAACAACGAGACTATATACATGTATAATACCCAAACGAAACTATTATTGAAAACAATGCCCCTAAAGAAATATAATAAGAAATGGGTGCACAAATAAGAGTTGAAACGTGGCTTGTCTCTAGCTTTACAAAAATAGAGTGAATATTATATAATTTCAGAGATAGTTTTCCACACATTAATATTCCACACGTAAGGAAAAATTAAAATAATAAAACAAAATACTTACCCTCCTGTTCTCGATGACGAACGCGAGCCTATCGGGGGCATCTTGGTAGTTTTAATAATCACTTAAGCAAAAATCTACCTCCCTTCTCTCTGTCTTTCACAGATATGCCATAGCCAGTGCTAACATTTATCAATGTCTGAACCACATACACTGTAACCAAAGGAGAAATGTTAATCTTTTCATCAATATTCCCGAGTCCCTGATCGGATTTCCGCAATGACTTGTCGATTTCTTAAGATCATTAAGATATCGATTATCGTGTCTTGTTTTGCTAGGAACAGTCAACGGGGAATTGAGAGTTGACATTAGATTGTTAAAATGTCAATAAATCAATTTTTACAAAACCGATTTCTATTCAATATATTACACGGCAAAAATGCATTAGAATTCTATTTTTCGAAATTCTTTGAATTTAAAAATAAACCATGGCTGATTTAGTGTATCATGATTAACTTATTTGATAGATAATAATATGTTTGCAAACGTCGTTACAAAGGCAGCGCGTTGAATCATCTGCCAGAGTAGCAGTTGAACTGCAAAGAATTAGGGACATTTTATGTGTAATCTTATTAAATCGGGAATGATTATTTCAGTAGTGTTTTGATGAAGTTAAAATAAATTACATTACATATTAAATGTCGTGTCTTTTATTTAGTTCTAAAACTAATGAACCGTCAATGCCTTTGATAAAAATCTACATCAACATTACCTGTATTATATTTCTTCAGTTCGGGTGAGATTTATCATTAGTAATATTCTCCTCGGAGCCATTATTAATTATGAAAATATATATTATAATATGGAGAAAAACGTCTAGGTCATCTATCAAAAGTTTGACGGTAACAATTCTGTATGTTTATACTATTCAATAAATAAATACCATGTGAACGGCTTTATTATCTACTCAGATCATTTCTTTGAGTCTTTTCACAGTCCATTCAATTCCTGCATTCAGATGGTCGTTTAGAGTTTTTGACACTCGCTATTATGATTGACAATACTGTCACATTTGCACGGATCAATTCACACAATATATAATACAGAGATAATATTTGAGTTTATTTATAGATTTATGTGGTATGAAATATACACCAGTATGTCATAAATGCTTAGATATAATTGTTGTGTTAATTCTAACTCTTCCAGTTATTCGAGTGACACCAATCAATAGGGTCTTGTCGGAATAATGGAATATAACAAAAATATTTTAGACATATGATTAATATTTTTTACAATTTACGGATCCGGTGTACGTGTTGGGGTGGAGGTGCAGTCGGAGAGGGGTGCTCAGGTGTCTCCACACTAAAATAAACCCAATTCAGCCCCATCCCCACCCCATTTATTTGTTAAAAAATATATAGTTTGCCCATTTTAAATAAATATCAGTGCACCAAACGTGCAATTTTATCTAGGGGGTATTCAGTGGTACACTGTCCCGATGAACTTTCTCGGCAGTGATCGAACCCGGTTAGGGAGATTCCGGTTGAAAACAAATCTGTCAGTTAAAACGGGGTAGCACCATTTACCCAAATCCACCATTGTTTCAACTTATAAGACAATGATTTATATCGTTATTTGATAATATACCGTTCTTTATTCCAAATTGTCATTTTTAATGTAGCCTACAATCATCGTGAAGTTTTTGTGTCATCTAAATGCCCCTCAATATGCGATTTCCAAGTAAGTTTGGAAGTTGTAACTAAATCCACCACCATTTTAACCAATATCGCAATAATTTATATATTATTTATTATACCTCTCTTTATGAAATGAAATTATACGTATTATTTTCGAGGTGGGTGGGGGTCACGGTGGCTAAGTGAGTAAGACGCTGGCTCGCTAGCCTGGAGGTCGGGTGTTCGATCCCTGCATTGGCCGAGAAAGTTCATCCAGATTTTCCGGCGTGGTTCCCCCTTGTCAGTGATGCAAGGCGAAGAGCCTAGCTGTCTAGTCGTTCAGATGGAACGAAAAACCGAGGTCCCGTGTACACATTGGCATGCACGTAAAAGATCCCTTGACGGTTGGAATTCGATGTAAGAGTAGGCCGTAGTGCCGCTATCCGGGCAAAATTCCCCTCATAGCATACTGTATGGCGTATGCCCGTCTTCATTAGCCCAGTTCGGAGCAGAACAGTAGGACGTTAAGCACCATTTCATTACATTTCACTTATTTTGGACAAAAACTGCATTTTGCAGAGAGAAAGACGTGGCTTTTGTAGAATGCATTAGCATAAAAAATAATTTTCTTTTCGTTCCGACTTATCACTTTTATTTCATTTAGTAATTTGGCATTACATGAAGACAGAATAGTAAGAAACTGAAATCAGGAAACCGAGAATTAATATGAATTTCGATTGATGCAGGTTTATTGATTAGCGCTTTATTCATAACCATGATGTTCGAGACTGTGAAGATTGTAAACTGGGAAAGATAACTCTATGTTGTGTTGCCGAGAAAAACAAACATGGCAGGTCGTGGACGAGGTAGAGGAAGAGGAGTATTGTTAAGCTCTGAAGTAATGAACCATATTGCAGGCGTTCCTGGAGGTGGAGCAGAAAACAGTGTAGCTAAAAAGGTACTAACCTAGTCCAAACTACGAAATTAGATATTATTTTTCTTATAAAGTCGATGCCTCCTTTGTGTATTTTTGTAGACTTGAACATCCAAGCATATTTTCCATTTACCATCCAACCGGCTAAAAAAATAAAATCATTTTCTCGCAGCAAAAACCAAACTTCATGTTGATTTTTTTTTTGTAATGTTGATTTATCATTTCAATGCCCAAACAGATCTGTCTGAGAGTGTGATATTATGCAAATGCTTGGGGTCGGAACGGGATATAATAATAAACTTATTATTATTCCAATTGAACGTGCAGTCAGTCAATCGGTTACAGTAGGCCTAGTGTAGAGATTTTTGGGTGAAATTGCAGAGAATGGTACATGTATAGATAGGATACCCCAACATAAATAAATATCTCCAAATATATCGACAATTATACCACAATATTCAGATATATAAAGCCTTAACTTTGTTCCTCACATTTATCGTCACTAATATTCATAGGCCTAATGGACGTTGTATTTAACAATTTTTCTTTAATTTTTTGAAAAAGTGACATTGCTTTGACATTGTTACAAGCAAAATGGTAGACTTTCAAAATATACAAATTACGATGCAGTATTCAACAAATATTATTAGACCTCTACTAAACATAATATGGGTTTCACAAAGACAATGCAAATATTGAAAATGAAAGTGTACCAGTATGGTACATCTTTGTCATCAGTTGATTACACAACATCTGTCTCTGTTACATTTTGTTTGATTTAATTCTCAGTGGAACTCTGCAAAATTATATCGAACTATTGGGCCTACCACATTTTTGATAAAACTGTTGCTGCCTATGAATTTTGTGATGTGGATTCCGATTGTTCATGTAGTGAAGGACCTTTTGTAGTATTTAGCTGCTCTATATATGAAGGGAATATTACACCAACTGAAAAATGTACCAATATACATGTATTAACTTTAATATTTTGGTAGGAAACAAGAGGAAGAAATAATTCTGTGTCAGATATTGAGGAAGTGGTGGGCAATCTTTCACTGAACATTGATGAAAAACAGTTAAAAGATCTCACAAAGATATCTGAAGAAGTTTGTAAAACAGCGGAAGATTTGAAAAAACTTGCAGCAATAATTTATGAAAAGTGTCTCAAAGATCGAGAATTGGCGGAATCCGGATCATATGTGGCTCAAAAACTTTCAAATTTCGAAGTTGATGGTGTCAAGTTCCGTGCCTGTTTACTCAGCCTAGTCCAGCAAGATTTTAAAGGTGAGAGGTTTCTGTCTAATAAGTTATTCCATGTAAGATTGTAAGGCAGTAGTATCTTTCAAATGCTTGAATAATGCATGTATTGTACATTGTACCTTACTTAATTTCATTTAACTAACTGTGTGATATTATCTTATTATCTATTTTTACTGTGTACCTTATTTTATTAATGCACTGTGTACCAAGTGCCTTGTTGTCCCCGCCTTTCATAGAAACCTGGGGACCATGACAGAGTTCGACGATAAACAATTTTCACTAACGCTAAGCAGAGATAAGCAATGTGATTGGATGACATTTTTGAACATGATAACTTTGATTCTAATTGGACGAGAGTGATCAATAAATTTGGTTTGTTCATTTATTTTGATGACAGCCTATTCCTGTTGAAAATAATTATATCTGTAGAAAAAGCCAGTGTACGGATATAACCGATTTCTTGCTCTACTGTTGACACAGTGTCTCTTCAATAACCCAAGTAACACATCAGATCAACCCAGTTAACCTTTTGGAGGTACCAAACTTGAAGAGATAATCTAATGTATATCTTATTTGATTTAACTCAGTGAGTAAGATGTTTGCTATCGGTCCCATGTTCATCCCTGCTTTGGCCGAGATAGTTCATTGGAAATTTTCCGATGTGGTTCCTTATTGTCAGTGGTGTATAGTCGTTCAGATGGGAGAGAAAATCGAGGTCTAGTGTACTTCGGACGTTAAACCACCTTTCATTTCATTTATTTAATTTTAACGTGTGCATGTTAAATCATATGGTCTGTCATAGAATCACTGCTCGTACGTGACAAGGAGTAGTGTTACCTGTCCAACCTCATGGGTTTTCTCTGGGACCACCGGTTTCCTCACACTTCTAAAGACCCTTGCGTGCGAGCAAGTGAATTATTGAAATAAAATTGAACCATATGTTAGTCCCAAAATGATATAGTTTGTGTCACGTGGACGTTAAACACTCTCTCTCTCTCTCTCTCTCTCTCTCTCTCTCTTTAATTTTATCTATGTGTACTTATTGGTAAGTTCAGGGGAACTGCACCACTCACAAACAATTACACAAGACAAACCTATGGACAGGATACTTGATTTATCTAATGAGTATCTTGGCTTAGGGGCTTAAATGTATTCAATTTGCATTTGTACCTTATTGAATTTTATATTATCTAATGTGAACCTGTACTACGTTTATAATGTATCTTATGTGTACCTTATTTTATTTATCATTGCGTACATTGTTCAATTTTTGTAACATGTACATGTTTTCCTTATTAATTATTTAACTTTTTTCTTCCAGTTAAAGAAGAACTGCGTAAAGAATCAATCAATAAATTCTTAGGCTTTTTTACATTCCTGTGTCAGATATTTTTTAATCTGAAAATAGGGAATCGTGAACCCATCAAACCATTAGTTGGACCTATCATGGAATGCTGTGATATGATTGTAGATTCTGAGGGTGAAAAATGTAATGATGATGAATTTGAATGTATATCTATGCAGGTAATCAGCTAGGGTTTTGTGCATGAGTTATCTCCCTTATATTGTAACTTGCCTCTGAGTTCTAGATTGACAAAGCTCTGAAAACATTTTTTTTCTAACAGACTAACACTATTTATTTATTCATTATATATTAACATAATATAAAGTAACAACATTCAATTATAGAATCTGAAAACAAGCCTGGGCTTATAGAAATAATATATCCCCTGTAAACTCCATTAAGAAGGGGGGGGGGGGTTGTTCATCACATGGGCAACCATACTTTAATGACTGTTAAACATACATTATGCAAAAACTAAATCTGCCTATTGCAGGTCTTTCTTTAGGCCTGAAATGTTATCTAAATTATTAATTAGACATTAATTATCTTATCCAGACCATAATCAACCCTTGATGTTTATTGGATTAGGTTCTGATTTGCTGTTTGACTTCCATTCATAATTTAATCATGAAATGGATAATCGAGACTATGTTTTTATCATACAGACTTTAGTAATGATGATCGAGGCAAGGCCGAAAATTCAATCACTAAAATCTTGGTTCAGAGTGGATCAATTTGACTGAAATTTCAGCAAATTCTCTTTACATTATCTAGTTTTTAACTATTATAGTCAGAACTGCCAACTCTTTAACTAATTTCAGATAATGTATCTTTAAGTGTTAAAGGGCCAATCCCGATAATATTTTGGAGAATAAAACTTCTTAATTTTGTGTTAAAATCTCTTAAATTCCTCTAACGTAGGACCGAGCAACTAACTCAATATATGTGATACTTTTTCAAACAACTTTAACCCGTCAGTCTTCATCTGGAAATGCATACCGGTGTCCTAAGCTGTATTATGCAGTGTCTGGATACAACCAGATTTTTATTCATAAAAATAATGTGTAGGTGAAATTTACGTTTCGTTATGAAGTACAGCTCATGGGTCATTCAGTTATAAACCTCTAAAGGAACGGAAATCGATTATCAGGTCAGCCAACGAAAAAATTGACCTGAAATCTTAAAAGGGTTACGTGTCCGGATAAGCAGTGTTGACGTTCATGTCCAAGCGACTCATTATTTTGAGCTGAAATTTGGGGACAAGGTAAATACACCTTGGTTTTTTTTCTGTTTCAGTTGCAATGTGTGGGTAAATTAATTGAATCTGTTGATTCAGATAGAATGCTTGACTTCCTAGAAAAAGTGAGGAAAAAAATTGTCATGGATAAGTAAGTTTGATTATAAATTTATTAGTGCTTACCGGTAAAATTCCAGAATAAACAGAAAATAAAGAGATTTAGAACATGCACAATCAATCCAATCCAGTTTCATGTTTAGCTGTCTGCTTGTCGAACCCGAGTAACATTTTGAAATGACAAATTAGACTGTATTTAACGGCAAGCGACATAGATCTCCATTTGTTTCCATAGTACTGTTGTGGCCGAATGGTTACGTGTGTGCATTGTATCATAAGATCTGTCATTGAGGCAACTGGCATGGTTTTGATTCCCTTTTGTACGTAACAAGGAGTAGGGTCGACAACAAACCTCTTCAGTTTTCTCCGGGTCCTCCGGTTTCCTCCCACTGCTAAAGACCCCTACACGCATGCGAATTAATGAAATAAAATAAAACCAAACTTTTGTCCCGAAATGACCTAGTTTGTGTTGAGTGGACGTTAAACCCCATTTCTCTCTCTCATTCATGTTTTCTTAGGGGATCACATGGCTAAGTGGGTAAGACCCTGGCTCGCTAGCCTGGCGGTCGGGTGTTCGATCCTTGCATTGGTCGAGAAAGTTCATCCAGATTTTCCAACGTGGTTTCCCCTTGTCAGTGATGCAGCTCCAAATTCACATGAACACTGTAAAAACAGATAGAAAGAATCTTGATTTTAAGTTGCAGCTCTGTCAGCAAAGCTGCTACTGAGCATATGTTACCTTGACTGGCAAACAGCATATTAGAGGGAGAAGGTTTAACGTCCACAAGCTAGGGTATTTTGGGCGTAACATATAGTACAAATTCAATTCAATAGTGCGCTTGCACGTATGTGTTTTAAGCAATAGGATGAAACCCACGACATTGGCTCGTACAAGCTTGGGATTAAAACCACTGTAATACCAGACTCTCCAACCCCCCAAGCAATATGTAAATTTCTATTTGTTACCTACTATTGGATAATATTTTTTGGGTTAAATAATAACAAATGTTTCTTATAGGACCCCACCAAAAGTTCGCTGTGTTTTGTTAGAGTTAATAGAATGTTATGGTAGAAAGTGGGAACCAGCTTCTAATGATGTTACTAGATGTTATTGTGATATAATGGCTGAACTTTATGCAGGAATGGTTGTGTGATAATACTTTATTTGAAAATATTTTAAGCAGCGATACTGTTCTTCAATACTCTATTTGTCGGTACTTGATATGATAATGATACTACGGTACTGTGGATGATAACAGCAAGTGTAGATCAGTTGATTTTACCGACATTGGCACTGCAGCATATATGCCTAACATTTTCTGTTATGTTGAGTTTTGTATAATGCATAATTATTACTTACCACAAGGGTAACTGATGAACATATCAAAAAAAGCACTCAATTATATTAATTGTTTTATGTCTTTGTGAATGGGTATGTAGATATTGTCCTAATTTTAGCATTTAAACATCTTTGATTTGGAGTAAAAAATAAATTTGATGATTTGATTAAGTTTGATATGTTGATTTACTGTCTGAAAACTGTATCTTGTCTACATTTAATATTAAGATCCCCAGATTGAGCCAGTCGCTAAAATATAACACTTGAAGCCAAACATGAATCTAAAATTATGAAATAAACTGAAATATAACTCTATATACGTTCCCTTACCTAATGGAAATAAAACCTCAGATCAATTGAACACCTTGTTTTAGTCTAAGTCAAAGAGGTTTAGTTCCTTTAAACATAATCCTTTCCTTAAAACCAAGAACTTAAACACATTTAGTCATTTAAAGGACAATATTGGTGTCAACCATTATCACATATCATTGCTACGATAGATACAAATGAAGATTTGAGGACACGGAAGTGACAGATACATGGGCAAATTTCTGCTCACTGAAAATTCCTTCAAAGTTGTTATATGAGACTGTTTCAAAAAAATAATTGAATGTTACTAGATAAGAGAAAACGAGAAAAATAGAAATAACCCGTACATTTCCTTGTTTTTATTCATTCTATACTTAATAAAAACATGGTAATGCACGGAAGTGAAATAGGAGAGTATGATATTGTTCCAGAATTTATTTATGAGGTTTAAATCAATATCAAGATGACTGGAAGTGGCCCAATATCAGTCATATAAATGAAAAATTTAATCATATTATTTTATATACTTTATGTATTCATCAAAGTGTTTGAACATTTTTATAGGTTTACATTAATTAATCTTTTTCCAATTTAAACTTCAGAATACTCCATTTCAAAACTTTGATTTCTAGACGTTCTCACAACTTGAGTTCTGTGCTAAGAAAGTTTTCAATAAAATTATTGTTCTGTGCTGCTGAAGTATTCGCAAAGATTTATATTTGTTACATTAAGTGCAGATGCACATTTATACAACAAAGCTCAAAGTAATTTAATGAATTCATATAATAATGAGATGTCAAATATTTTCATTCACACTGCAATATAGGTATTTTTAATTATTTCTAAGAGGGAATATAAATAAATAATAAACCTGTAAAACCACATTTATTTTATTAGAGGAATACATTTGCTACATTATTTTCATAACCTGTCATATCACCATATTTATAATCGAAGAACAAAGATTTTGTGTGCAACTGAATAAGTTTCACTGTTTGATTGCACAGGAAAGATATCATTACAAACAGCCCACTGCTTAATTTCCTCATGTCACAGTTTTATTTCCTTATTTCTGTTTTCAACCACAAATTTCTATAGTTTATAATATGGAATAGACCTAATTCTGATTGTATAATTAAGGAGCAAACAAAGAAGTAAAATTTGATAGGGTTTTGATAAAACAATGGAAGTATGCTTCTTAGAATATAGGTGTCTATTCATTTGAACTTAATATGTCAACTAGTTTCACATTTTTAAGGAATGAATGATTATGATAAATTGTAGAATATTAAGAGCAAGAGTTTCCCGTCTAAGCTAAATTTAACCCCAGACAGTAGATATTGCCTATCCAGGGGGTAAATTTGCTGATACTGGGTTTGTACATAAATCTTTTTCAGTTATAATTTTTAAACAAAACTAAAGTAAGATTATTATGTTCTGTTATTTGTACTTGAAGTAATAATGTTATAAACAATATTGTAAATATCCTCTATTGCTGGTTGCTTTATTATGGCAGCATGTTACTGAAGCAATGACCGGGAGTTTTACAACATCTAGACTTTTACAACCTCTAGCCGTTGCTGGACTGGTCTGCAATTCCCGAACTTATAGCTACGTTATGTCCCTTTAACGCAGACACAAGAACGATAGCGCCCAATCAAAGGTTGTGGCACAAACACACTCAAATCAAGCATGGCGACCTCCACAGAAACCTTGACATTGAACGAACCCTGAACTTTGCAACTCAATTATCACATGTAGATATTTCAGCGGGAAAGCACGAGACTTGGTATTCGCGATGATTGAAGAATCTGATAGGCTTCCCAGCTCGAGCAGTAACCAATCGAAATTAGTGCCGAAATATGAAATGTATTACTGAAGGGCTTGTTAAGATGTACTGAGTTAAAGCGAGATAAAGCCTTTTGTATAAGATGCATAAACTTAAATTACTGAACAAAGCAAAGTTGCCAGTTTGAGAACCCCTGATTTGAAGAAGAGTCAAACAAGTTGATTTTATTTACTCAAAATTTCCATGACGGGTGTTCGTTACCTCATTTCTTTTAAGAATCATAAAACTATATTAAGCTCATTTAACTTTCATCATAATTATTTTCATGGTTTAAAATATTTTGATATAGGTGGTCAGTGTTATCAGTATTAATGTTAGCATCAATTTTGTACACAGGAAACAATTCTGTGGAATGTGGAATACAATTACTGTTTATTGTTTAATATAGAGAAGCCTAGTCAAAACCTTAATTGGATTCCATAGAATTGTGACCTGTGTATTTCCAGTTCAATTATTAAATGCCATTAAAATCAATTTTGAGTATATTATTTAAAACATACACATAAAGTGCATCTTATGGCAATTTAATTTGGGTTATTTTGGTTCTGTGTACATAAATTAAGGAATCAAAAGCGTAGTAAAAATTTTTTAAGGGGTACCAGAGTATAGAATATGTTGCTCAAAATACTGTTTCCTACTGATGATATCAACTAAATACTCTGCAAACTATCATCATTTTAAAATCAATGAAATGGGGTTTTAATATCCTACTTCTGTGCACCAACGGACTAATGAAGATGGGCATTTGCCATGCAGTGTGCTATAGGAAAATCTTGGCTCGGACTATGATTTCGAATTCCAACTGTCGGGCGGGGGGGGGGGGGGTATTTTTACACTATTCATTGTAATGTCATGCCCCTCTCCTCCACACTGGCCAACACCATAACAGCGCCTTACTTGCTGAGCAACTGTGTCTCCCTTTAAATTCAATACTAATTTTATCTGTATTAAATTATGAATAATGTAACCATCTTCTTTAGAAATATTACATTATTTTGTGTTAGTTGAATTGTTTTGTAAATAAATTTGTAAATCGAATTAATCCTGACATGTGAATTAATTTTGTCATGTTTACAGAATATATTTATCAAGGAACATGTAAATAATTTTGTCTCTTGTAAAAATTTGATGAATACATTAAGCAAACACTAGAATGGAGGTTGTCTATAAAATGTTAAGATAGAACCATTCCACACAATTTATTAATTGTAATTAGATTTTGCTGTTTAGTTTTTATGTTAGTGTTTTTGGAATTAAATTTGCTGTATTAATGAAAATCTTTTAAATTTGAGCCTATTGTAATGGTTTTATATTATCCCCCAGCAATTCACACTATTTGTAAGAAAACGAGTCTTGATTTGACTTAAAGGGTACGTTCAGATTTTCACTGGATCTCCGATATAAAGGGGGCGTTAAGTATGTATTTCACGGACATCTATATGATTTTTCTCCTTTAAGATTGATCCGCCCTTGTCCCTATTCTTTTAAGTAATCCAGTATTATATTGTTTCAGAAATACGGGATATATTCTTTTTCATGTAATTAATCTTTTCAAGGACATTGAAATAAAAGATATTTGTTGTATTTAAACATGTCATTTACCATTCACCTTGCCTATATTCACTGTTTATATTTGCATTCTTTATACATTGTTAGAATTGTATTTTGACGGTTTTATTTGAATATTCATAAAGTGCTTTTAGAACCAACAGATATTCATTATTGGTGCGCGGCTACATTTCTTATATAGAAAATACAATAAAATTTGTTTGTCTTTAAATATAGACTGGTTGTTTGTTTGGTTGCTTATATTCCTCAAAATGTTGGTTAAACATGTTTGATTATATAACTGACCCATCAATATGAAAAACGTCCTGGTGGGGTTTCTATTAAATTTATATTGCGTGGGGAGACGCTTTCACGTTTCTTTAATTCATTTCTGACATTCTCAATACAGCTAGTTCGCTTCTTGAAGTTCTGTTCACCGAAGCACAGTGACAATCGAGGTGATTCTTAGTAAGAAAACAATAGTACCAGGGAACTTTGTTTTAGCCAATAGATCTTCAACGGTTTAAATTACAACAATACGATTTTTTGCCGGCTTGTTGTTTGTGTTGCGATTGCCGAAAAGCCTCCATATCGAAAAATTTTTTAAAAGTTGCCCCCCCCCCCCCACACACACACTCTCAATATCAAGATTCTGTTAAAATACAGCCATCACTGGCTTGGGAAACCATTCCACAATTTGTCGACAAAAACGACAAATTATCGTAAATACAAAAAAAAAAAATGAAAGATTGACCACAATTAAATCGACACCATAATGAAACCGATGATGTTAAATCTATTTTTATATCACAAGTTTAACAGTTTCGGAATTAAAAAAGGACGCCTTTTTGCTATTTCTGTGATAAAATTGTTATCATTCAAGGATTTTTACGTCTTTGATACAGCTTTGGATTCAAGGTAAGTAAGCAAATGCTTTCTGGCTATTCTGTGAAAACTTGACGTAATTTGTTAAAAACTGTAAAAAGAAGAAACAATTCTTTAATACACATCTAAGAAATGAATATATTCAACATAGAAGAGTACAATTCGTCAGCATCATCCAGGACACGGGTTGGATCCTTTTAATTATTGATGGACAAAAAAGAATGAGTTTTATTATCCAGAATGCTAGATAATCGTTTCCAGGAAGTGGATCGAGGGGGTGTCGATATTGCACCTAGATGATGTCCATCGGGATATAACCATTTCTTACAACTCCCTCCATAATTATTTTCTTTCATCAGTAAGGGGCGGGTTTCATCTGGAATGTGATGGGGCCCCCACCATCTTAATCCGGCCCTGTGCGCCCGTTTCTTGTGTTATGCTTTGTAACAATTCATTAGCGTCGTAGAGACATTTTTGGAAATATAATTTAAGTATAAAATTCAGTTAAGAATCATGTTTAAGTACAACCCACTATCCCCACCACTGATAACTGGGCGCCATTTCAATGAATTATGAGTCTTTTCGGTGGCTTTTGTAAACATATTTTAGAATGCTTTAGGCTGGTAGCCATGGCAAAAATGCTGTCTTTCTAATGAATGGAGAAATATCACTGAAAAACAATAACGAATAGCAGAATTTTGTGGAATGGGTTTTTATTCAAAAGTTATAACATCGACCATAAACGTACACCATGTTGAACAAAAGAGGAAGAGTCGGTGGAAAAATAGAAATAGTTGAAAGATTTTCTCTTTAAATGTTGGTATTATAAATATATTATTACAACTGCCTCGCTGATCTCTTTCACAACTCGATCTACGTTACAACAATAAGTTTACCTACTACTGATACTGTTTCTGACTCATTCCATAGGGGGTCTATTTACAACTATATTGTTAACCAACATAACCAACAAACTGATAAATCTACCAATTACATATCAAACCAAGGCGTTTAATGTTTCAAGATACTTTTATAAATTCTGTTTAAAAACTTGCCAATAACTATTGGGGTTTTCCCTCCCACCAAATGTACAGTTATCCCAGTCACACATCAGAGTTCGACTGTTTTATTTCATGATAAATAATCAATAAAAGCTGAATATTATAATATAAAATATGAATTATTCCAATGTATAAATTTGTATAAATTAAAAGACAAAGCATGAACAGCCTATTTCCCAAGGTTATAACCAATATACAGGAGAGTTTAATTATGTTCTCTTTGAATATGTTGGTAATATCAGGCGTATCTGGATTCTATAGACGGAATCACACAAAAATCATCCTTATAAAAATCCGTCTAAGGATCGGAGGCGAATGACTTTCCTAATCTCAGACTCCCTTGTCAACTTCAAACTGGAATCTGGCCAAAGAGAAAGTTTCCTCGTACACTAGGGTTATCTGATGTAAAGTATTCTGTCCAAAGTGATTCGAACTCATTCCAAGATATTTTACCGTCTGTTCCCTGAAATAACAATGAGACCAATAGTCGTTGAGTTTGTTTTAAAGCAAATTCGATGTGTAATTTCATAGCTGCAAATTTGGTGCCAGATATTTCACCACCCAATTTCTACATTTCTATTTAAATTAGGATTATAATTCATATTTGTGAAATTGAATGAGGGTTATTTTTGTGGAAACACCCTAATTAAATCGTCTGACCAAAATGAAAGCAAACTATTTCTTTTAGATAATTAACACGCTGTGACTAGTCTATAGTCTGTTCATTGATACGAAATGCGCTCTTCAAGAGATGCAGTACCATATATATTTTTGTATCCTTTGATTAAATGATCAAAATGTATCTAATCCTATAATCTCTCTTATGGACAAAATAACTTCTCAATCTCAAAATGAGACGCCCAACATTTCATAATATTTTACCATACTGTTAAATAATCAAAAAAAAGATTAAGTCGTATTTCCTTTCCATTACTGCTTTTAATTAATTTAAGTTCAGAATACCAGTAGACCCCAACGTGTTGAATTTATAGTGTATTTTTCATGTTTGATTCGTATCCATTGTCCTTGTTATTATCATTTGGACATACCTGTGCTAGTTTATCAAATGCTGCTCCAGCGGATTCTGCACTAATACCAAATAGTTCGTATATAGTAATATATTCTTCTTTGTCAATAAAACCATCACCTAAAAAATATAACAAGCGGTTGCCATGTAAGATACGCCCACATTTTGCAAGAAAAATTATAAAAAAATCGATTTTACGCACGATCAAAGGCCAAAATCCAAGAAGTTACAGCACGATACTCACAGGCATGGACAGGATCCTAGATCAATGGGATAAAAACATACGTTTTAAGTTTAATCAAAATTAGATAAAAAATTATGGCATACTTTTACATTATTAGCGTACGTGCAGCGGCCAATTCATCGGACAGTTTAGGTCCGATTTCCACGGAATTCGAACTCAACCGTCATTATGGTGTACCGGTGATATATTTAAACATTTTTTAAAATTCTAAATCAGATTATAATTGTGACCTCTAGAGGTTCCACAAGCTAAAAAGTCAGGGCTGGGTCAACAACCTTGGTATTACATACTATTACACTAATTTGCGTAATTACACTAATTTAAAATCGGATAAAAATTTTGATCTCTAATGGGAACACAAGATAAACACGTGATTTTTCGTACAATCTGGGGATATGATCCAGGAAGTAACAGTCTGATATGCGTGAATATCGAAAGGAGCCGAGGTCGTTGGGTTATAAACATACATTATAAGTTTCATCAAAATTGGATAAAAATTGTGACCTCTTGAGTGTCCACACGCTAAAAACGTGATTTTTTTTGTACAATTAGGTGTCATAATCTATGAACTTACGGACTGATATATGCCAATATTGAAAGGAGCGTGCCATTAAACAACATTTCATTTCATTTCATTTCATTTATTGAAAGGAGCCGAGATCTTTGTGAGCTAACCCTAAATTGTAACTTGCACACTGTCCATTGTGACCTCTTGAGTGTCCACAAGCTAAAAACGTGATTTTTCGTGTAATCAGGGGTCATAATCGATGAACTTACGGACTGATACATGCAAATATTGAAAGGAACCGAGATCTTTTTGAGCTAACCCTAAATTGTAACCTGCACGCTGTCCATTATGGGTGGACGAACGGGCGGACAGGGACGACGACACTATACACGATAGCGTATAGAAATGTAAATACTCTGGCACTACCAGTAGTATAAAAGTATTATTCTCTGGTTCTATCAATAATTTAAAATAGTATTATGTTATGCTCTGGCACTATCAATAAACTTATAGCAACAGGTCTGACTGTTTTAAGTCACCAGCTGTTCTAAAAGGGGGTGGTTTCTTTTTATATTATAGGAATTGGGCAAATGAAAAAGCGTTGCAATATACAATGTAGATTAAAATGTCTTCTTTTTTCGAAAAGACAATCTATCGATTCTTGAATTTCTTACCTGATGTATCATTAGCCAAGAACATAAATTCCATGTAATTTTTTTGCCAGTCAGGGAATCCTTTTCCAGCAGCTAAATTTTTAACACAATCGTCCCACATGGTGATCCATTCATCTTTTGTTACTCGGTCATCCTACAATGAATTGAATCAATTAAATTAACAGTTATGGTGATAGTGATCATGCTTCAATCCAAAACATCAGTATAAAGAAATAATGATTTTGGGACTATTTTAATACAAATTTGGACTTGGAGATGAAATGGGGTTTAACGTCCTACTTTTCTGTTTCAACATGGCTAATGTAGACGGGTATTTGCATGCTTTCCAGGTACTTTTCATCAATGGTTCTGTTTCGTGCACACCAAAGAGTACTTGGTCTATGTCGTTTTTCGTCCGATCCAAGCAACTAAACGAACTTATCCTTGCAGTTCCTCCGACCTGCAACATCGACAAGGGAAAATCCGGACGAAATTTATCGGTCAACACCGGGACAGATTTCAGTGACATAGTCAATGAGCCACCACTTGAAAACTGGTACTAGATGTTCCAAAATGAAACCCTTTTGTCAAATAGCTTGCAAGTAAAAGAAAACCAATGTTACATAGCTTAGTACCACCAAAAAAATTTATGTAACCATAACACACAATTCAATATACCTCGTTTTTATCTGCAAATTTTCTTAAACCGCCCCAGATAGAACTAAGTGTAGCTTCAGCTGATTTATATTTATCACCCCCTTGTTTCCAGTGATGTAAATTACATACTTTCTGTAAAATATAATATAAAACCATTGGAGTAGAGTAATTTGGCTGGTGATTGCAAAATCCTGGATACAATCTTAAACGAAGAAGACCAAGACACCATAGGCTAAGTTTTACGGACGAACGGACGGACAGACGAAGCCCATACACCGACCCCCCCCCCCCCGTATATTTGTTCGGCGCGCGATAATGAATATAGATTTGAAACAAGGATAGATGTTTAATCTTTAAAATGATGAAAATATATGTTCTTTACTTTTAGTTCTTTCTTTCAAATGGCATGACACAGTTATGTACCAATTCATATTATTTTCCACAGTATGTTTTATTGTTGAAACGTCTATTAAGATGTGCTATATAACAGGAAACTAGACTGTAGGTTTTTCTTTGTAACAGAAACTGTGAGTAATTAATTTTCCATGACATTTACCTTTTTGTAGAAAGATTAGGAAAAATTGTTCCTTCAAGACATAATGGATAGATTTTTAAGAGATACATACAAATTATTAATTCATGCGTTGTGTTTCCAAAAATAGATTTCCATCAAAACACACCGGGTCGTTATTAACCGAGGTCACAAATAGTTAGGATAATGCTCAATTGACGACTTATGTCATAAAGAAGTGTTTCTGGTCGGAATTACCATTCATAAGAACGAACTAACCTCGCAATTATTGTGAAGTAAGTTACTTGACAAATTATAACCTGTATTGAATAAAACCAACGGGAAGTATTCCTTTTTTTACATATTTTTATCTTATTATGACCTTCACCTCAGCGTTATGGTTGTTTTATTCTTCAAGCAAAATCGAAATTTTATATACTGTACGTACTGTATCTGCTAGTTAATACAGAGAAGGAGTTCAAATAATCGGACGTTTCTATCGACTTCAGAAACCCCACTGTTTTTCAAAACAATAAAAAACGAATTTCCAAGAACAAATTAATTATAGCGAGGTTTGTTTTTACTTTGTTTTCGCGCCGCTGGGGTTTCAAATAGTGTATACCCTTAACCTCTTATCCCACAAAACGTGAATTTCACAGTACATATTCAGCGATATTTAATCACAACTTCCAGAGTTATGCCCCATTATTAAATTTCTTGTTAACCCCCTTGAAGTGAAGATTATTGTTCAGTTAAATGGTATTTGAAGTTTTAACTGCCCAGGAAGTTTAAATCACAAATCATTTTCCCGGATAATATAGGCCCACGTTTAAACAATACTGACAATGAAACAAAGTCAACAAATCGAAACATTGCAGCATTAATGTGTTGGTGTATAATACATGTGAACAACATGCAAGGGAAAACTTTAAAGACATCTGATTTGTCATTTTAAAGCACAGAGTTCTTGACGAAACTTTTAAAATGATATAAGGTTGGGGTTTAAAAAAAAAAAAAAATATCATGAAATTCGACGTTTAATTACCGTTGCTGTCATTTTGTTAAGTACACTTTACCATTAAAGATGCATTTAGTACGATCTAAATCTGCCCATTGCGGTTCTTTTTTCTGGCTTCAAATGTAATAAATTATTATTTAGACAGTTATTCGCACGACAGGCCCACAATCAACTCTCAGGTGGCTTTGATATTGAATGGTTTAGAACACCCGCGCAATTAAATGATGTAACGTTAACATAGAAAATCGAAATTTTGTTTATTATCGAAGCAATGGTACTTGACAATCGAGGCTATCTTGTCAAATTTGCAAACACTCATAACTTTGCCCAGAATAAAGTAATTTGACGAATATTTTCAATATATGCAATTTTCATTATCTGTTTTTGAACTATTAGAGGAAGAAAGGTAAGCCCTTTAACTACATCATACATGTACAATGCATATGTGAAAATATCCTCAAACAGGTTATGAGGTTTGGTATGATAAAAATTCTAAAATAAGACCTCAACAAGGTATAACGTGTCCACTAGAATAATTTACACGTGTAGTATTTTAACAGATCAAGCAGGATTTTGAGATCCCAGCCACTTTATATATCTCCCATTACTGTCTCTTTTATTAAGTAAATGCCGGTGCATAAAAAAGCTCTAATTAACAGGTTCCCAAGAGAAATTTGGCAGGTTTCGAGTGCTTTAACAGTTTGTTCCGCCTTGCAAATGATCTGGAATTCGGTAACGATGGCATATTACAATGACTGTAAATATGAAAATCTCTTCTTTGGGTGCAACAAATCTGTTGACATCACATCCGTTGTTTATGTGTAGGATAAAGCACGAGTCTGAGGTTATGCTGGGGAAAGAAAGAGTGAAGAAAATAACCCGAGAAAAAGAAAAACCGAGGCCATATCCAAGAATATCCAAGAATACCCGTAAGAAAAACCTTATAACCTACCCTGGAAGAATAACCCGGTACAGGTTTAAAGAAAAACTTTCAGAAGAATAAGCCCAAATTTCCCCGTATACAAAGCCTTTCAGACCGCAAGTTATTCCGGGCATAGAATATACCCCAAAGATCAAAAAGATTTACCGTTACAGGTTTATAAAGGCGTATAATTGTTCTAATCACGACTTAAAAATTAACTTAACACCGTGCCACGAATATGCTTCTATTTGAAATCTGTTTAGTTCTAATCAAAGATGGGATGTTTACACATTAACTGCGAGGTTGAACATAACAAGAGGAGGTCAGTTCATTTGCTTTAAGTCACTTAATTTACAGGTAATTATAAGCTTATGATCGGTTACTTTTATCCGGACGCAACACAATCATTTTTAAATAATCAAGAAACTTATTTCAAAAATTGACATTGATAACACCCGAAATAGACTAATAATAGTATTGAAATTAAAGCAGACTTCCGTATTAAATCTATTTTGGTGCCAGTAATTTCTATGATGTATGATATGACAGTACAATATCTATTAAAGTTATCTAAGTGATATTTTAAATAGGAAATTACCACGTTCACCAAGAAAATAAACGTAGCTAATTTTGAATAAAAGCATATTAAAAAAACCTAGCCTATTTAAAGACATACATTCATTAAACTGACAGATACTAAATGCGGACTATAAAAGGTGATATTTATATTCTTGATTATGTAATTGATTTTTGAATCGACATGATACGTTCCATGCTTGTTTATTGGACAATATTGTGCATTGATTGACCGACTTCCATTTTTGACTATTCCAAGATAGCTGCGATGACGTCGTGCTCTGTTCTTGGTCCATATAGCACGCTCCTACTTGTTTGCTTTTGAATTCATGATTACAACCAGAAAGTAAACTAACCTGTGCTGCTTCTTCAAAATCACATTTTTCTATTACACCATCTTTATTTGTATCTGAAAAATAATTGAGAAAAAATTTATGATCATGGAGAAAATAATCATTTTATTTTTGCTATATTATGTGAAGGATATTCTTTTCCTTTAGATATATAGTTTTGAGCAACTATTAGATAGGCCACTGTAGCTTGTTATTGTTAAATTTGGAAACGTATTTTCGTGATCGCCCAAACTGAACTGCAAATAATAATGTGCTGACATTTAAAGGGTATATTTCGTTGGAAACTATGTAAGATAGGTTCGTTGATACCGTTTTGATGTTTCATAGAATGAAATGAATTATATTTACACAGTTTAAAATTTCCAATCATTTTTGATCCCGAAAGTATAGCATGAAACTTGTTTTGAAAAGGCTTTTTTAAACGATACAGTGTATTAGTATTTTTCCATTTAAAATATACATTTTGTAATATACATTTTGTATACACACTATTTATGACGATTGAGACACTACTCTTGCTAAGGCGTTACGAACTTATATCATACTACTTATTTCACAAAATGGATCAAATGGAGTCTATCATCGTCATAGGTTTCTGCACCGACTGGATCAATGAAACGGGCGTACGAAATCTAGTGTGCTATGGAGGGTGGGGGTATTTCTTAGGGTTTATTTTACGTGTACACAGGACCTCGGTCTGTCTTTACCAGGCCATCCGTCCTGCACCACTGAAAAGGGGGATACCACGCTGAAAAATCCAGGGGAAATGTCTCGGCTAACACCGGAATCGAACCGCTGACCTCCTGGTTATAGCGAGCCCTTACTCAATGAGAGTCAGACAGGCTCTCCTTAGTTCACAAAAGTAACCATTAATGGCAAAATGGCCATTTTAAGTCTCTTCTGAACAATATACTTAGAGATTCACAGATGGAACCAATAGTATATTTCTTTAGATAATCCTTACTAGCGATCAATAGCTACAACTAATGTGTTTAATATTTTAGCCATTACTGGCGATTCAACTTGCGAAATATGTGACAATATGAGACTAATTAGTCGGACTTCTTTTTCCTTGGTCTATGTAGAATCGCTGATGACAAGCCAGAAACAATTTTTTTATTTTTTTTTATTTCAGGGAAATTGTCGTCTGTTACAGAACCACTACAAATCACCTTGACAACTCGAAATAGTAAAATCAACGAAACGATATGAAACGGGCTGGTTACCAACTCGCAGACATCGTGTTATTGAACAGCTTACAATCTCTTGTGACATTAAGAATCTGTAAAATATATTATGATAGACCTATACTTGTCTATAGAACTCGTATATATACACTTACATACAAGCGACTACTTGTCAGAAATAGTCTATAAATACATTTCTACGAAGAAAAATAAGTATTCTGTTTGCGTGATGTAGTGACACTTGGCTCATGAGTAAAATCGTCGCATGATTCCAGATGATCTGCTTGGAGTGTCGGTGAAATTTGAGGGTACATTTCTAAACACCCCCACCACCCCACCTTCGTCCCTGTCCGCGTTGTATCATAAGGTCTGTCGTTGAGCCAACTGGCGTGGTTTCGATTCTCCGGTTGTACGTGGCAAGAAATAGGGTCTCCTGTTCAACCTCGTGGGTTTTCTCCGCCCCCACAACTCTCTCCCTCTCTTTTTAAAACATTCAACAAAAAAATAATGTCATGTTTTCCACTTCCATATTAAAAAATATCATAAACTTTAAACAAAGTGCAAAGTGGACTTCAGAGTAACAAAAAAATATTTAGATAGCAAAATGTTAGGAAACATTATCAGTTCAATGTATGTTTTTGTTTGCTTCTATTTCCGTAATTCGTTTTCCCGCGTATGCCTTTAGCTGTGAGTGGGTAGGGAGCTTTAAGCAAGGAGAAAACCCATGATGTTAAGCAGCAGTGCCGGATTTATCTGCAAGTTTGGCAGGCTGAAGTCAAGATGTATAATACTTTTGACACTGGCCTCAACCAATCTGATTAAAATCCAGATTTATATTTCGTTTCGTTTTTTTATACTTTCGATGGCCTACACTACATGAAGATCTGACAAGTTGTACTGGTAGGTCGCGTCAGGGGTCGCACGAGCGGCTTTTGACCTATGGCGTCAGACATTGATTAATCAATCAGCGTTGACGTTTCTAGTGGTTACTTACAGTTCCGTGCATGGCTCGCCAAGAAGTCGCCGTTACAGACCGTTTCATTGGCTTATCCCTCACTCCAGCCAAAACGCCGGTAATATAACAACTCTTCCAGATCCTAGTGTAGTAATGACAAGTAAAACGAAATTTTGAACTATAAAAACCGAAACGAAATAGGATCTGTGTTTTAATCAGATTGGGCCCCAACCTTCGTTACAATCACTGTAGTCTTAAACATTCGTCACCAGCTTCGGCTTTGCTTAATTGTGCAGTTTAAAAACACTAAGACTTTCGTCTTCCTTTAGTCGTGATGGTAAGGAGTTGGAAGGGGGGGGGGGGCTCTTAAGTGAAAAATCCTATGACATTTCTTAATCTAAATCCGGCACCGTTAAGCAAGCGGGCATACCGAAAACACCTTCTCGAACTCAAAGCTTGAATATAACAGATACTTAGTGAGCTCTATTGTATGTTTTTGATTTGTGCAGCCCACATGGATGTTGTTGCAGTTATTCATAGTATTTAAATTATGCATTTTACAAGGAGAAGTAGTAATACAAGCCTGTTTAACTTGGTGGGTGATTTGTTATTCCAATTTTGCCTTGTTATATGATAGTTTGGCTTGATTTTTTAAGCTGTAGAAATTTGCCATGTTTGCATTTTACATAAAATCAATGAATGCACGAGGGATACAAGAGAGTAAAAAATTGAAATTATCCAGTCTCTTAAGGTGAATACAAATTTATTTTAAATTATGTTATACCATTTATGATAAATTTTGTAATCTGAAAATTTTTTCTTGTATAAAAGTAAAACACTTAAAGTCATGGTTTATCTTAGCTTCAGTGCTCCTATTGTATGACAATTTTTGTAGTTACTTTTAAAGAAACAAAAGCAGATAATATTATATTTTAGGCTGCATTTTGAACGACCAAGGTCATTGTCTACACCCTTAAAGAATAACGTGTGATAGATAGAAACATATATATTGTTTACGGCTTTCTACAGGAAAGTCTGTAATTCTAAGGATGTTTGTTGTAGCCCTCTTCATAACAAGGAAGTAATAAGCTTATTGTAGCACAAACTTCCTCAATTATGACTGGCTGAAAATTGTCATATATATACTAAGCAGCAAAATAAACGTCAGGTTGGTATGTTACTCTGAATAGATGCATTGCATAAAACTTGCAAAATGTTTTTATTGTATATTTGTGACCGCATGTCCAACTTTACCTGAGCAATAAAGGTTCCTTCCCAAACACAGAATTGTTCACAAAAAAGCAACCTGACTTCTGAGATGGTAATGTGTTCTCAATGTGTTCTCCATGATTTTCATGTAACTCATGCTGCACGTGCTGTTCACCCCATACCTGGTTGAATCATTCACACTACAACGTCAGCAGCATGCCACGACTCTCGACTGCTCAGGCGCTTGGAAGACTCGACGCTGACCACACTGCCCAAACCGTTGCCAAACACTTCCAGGTCAATGTTCCGACCATCTACAGGCTTCAGCAACGCTTTCGGGCCACCAACACCACGGATGATCGCCCCCGAACTGGTAGACCAAGGGTTAACACAAGGCGACAAGACCGCCATGTTGTGCGACATCACGTGGCAGAATCCCTTCACACAGGCATCTGAGGCAGCACGTCAGGCAGTGGGAACATACGGAAGACCCATCAGTACCGATACAGTGCGCCGACGTCTCAGCAGAGAGAACATCCATTGCCGTGGACCGATCCTTACCCCCTCGCCATCGACGTGAAAGTCTACAGTATGCCCAGCAACACCAGAACTGGCGACACAGGCAATGGAGAATTATTCTGTTCACAGATGAGAGTCGGTACTGCGTATCAACTGCAGATGGCAGGACCAGAATATGGCGTCGACGTGGCTAGCGTTATTCTGACCAATGTGTCATGGAACGAGACTCATGGGGAGGTCCAAGCATAATGGTGCGGGGTGGAATCGGCCTGAAACAGAGAGTGGGTCCTGCGGTGTTCTAAAATCTTGGTACGTAATTCAATAAAACTTTCGTGGGGAATATTAAGCTAATGATCCCAGGATATATCTATTGCACAATATCACCCTTCTAATTCCTAAATTCGTTTTCTAAGCTGATTTTGGTGAAAAAAAAAACTATCTGTTCTAAACAAAAGAATTGTCTGCTAGACTTTTCATGATCAATCTCGATCATACCATGTTGTCGATAAATTATGGTGTGGGAGAATTCTTCAGCTCCATAATTGCCTATGTCGATACAATGTAAACCCCTACCAATTCATTCCATTTAATGGCAGTATTTCAGTGAGGATTTGTCACTATTGATGTAGATTACACTGTTCTCTAGACGAAAATAAGCTAGAGGCAACTAAATGACAATCCAAGCTCATAAGAAAGATTTTTTTTTCTTTAAAAAGTTACCAACAAGCTCATTTGCTCATGTTTCCCTTTGGCACAGAAACCACAGGTAGGGAAAAATTCGTATTCAAACTAAATAATCATTAAATAATGCTTTAGCTATTACAACACTTCAAACTTCAATGCTACACAAGTCCTAAAAAAATACCCCCTAGTCCAAACCGATAGAATCATCAGATACATGTGGTCGTTGTGTCATAAAACAAGTTTATTTTATTTTTGACAAAAATGGTAATTTTGGACATGTATTTATTTGTTTCCTGTTCCTTTATGCCGTATAATGCATAACATGTGATGTGTTGTTGTATAAGGATGCTTAATGCATATTAAGTCCCGTACTTTAAAATATAAAAAAATATTGGTTATTGTGTAACTAGTCTATAAATTATATAACACTACCAACTCTTATCATTGTTATTATAATATCCAATCTGATTCAGCCAATAGGTCTAATAGTAACCGCACCATA